AAAGTAGAAATTTCTGTAAAATTCCTTTAAAACGCTACTCCACCTACAATTTTGGTATGATTTCAATATAATGTGGCACACAAGTAGACTACACTTAGATACATAATTCTATTTATTGCTGTCTGTTGCAAAGTTTCAAATCCAAGTGTTACTTTTTCTTTGTTATACATATAGACCAGGAGAGCTACAGTCTCATCAGAGACTTCTGGTTTATCCTTTTCATCACACAGCGACTTTCTTTTTTTTTCAGTGTACACAGATACATACACATAAAAGGAGACATCACCTCATGATCTGTGGATCCATTGAAAACTTTAAGGACAAAACTTTTGATAATTCATTCATGTATAGAGTGTTGACTCGAATATTGAATATCTAATGAATGGAAGCAAGAGAATTAATTTAAGAAGTATTATATTGTATATTACTCTTCTTATTCATCTGTCAAATTTCTTAATTAAAAATTAAACTTAAAGGCTTAAATAAGGATTTTTTTTTCATTATTTTAATTAGAACAAGTTCTTTAATTTATTTTTCTCTTATATAAACGGGCATTTAAGGTCATACGCAACGTAGTTTGCACTTTATTGGGTTCTTCCCTGGAGTTGAAGAGTTCCACTAAATGAAGGACCTGTGTGCAATATTTTTATTGTCTATATATGGATTTGTAAATCTCTTCTAAAACAATTTTGATAAAAAAAAATCTGGAATTTATGTTTTGTAATTTTTGTACATTTTTCTTTGAATAATGCAAAATTTTTCAAACTTTAATATCTTTTCAAAATCCCTGGAAATGCATGCTGATTTTTTGTTTAAAAATATGTTATATGGTACATGTATTATAAGTTTAAATTTAGAATATCTTGAAAAATTATCAGTAGGTAAGGTATCTTGCGTATGTCCTTAAATGTAAAATGAAGGTATGTGTACCTTTATTCAATGAACTAGGGAACTCATGAAGTGTGAATATTTATATAATAGTGTTGTATTTTGCATGCACTATTCTTAAAAAGTAGTCAGGGTTTGACACATGGTGCACAAGCCGGAGGCTTTAGGTATAATGTACAGATAGTTTTAGAGAATAGTAGTTGAGTGATGGGGTCAATTGCAAGAAACTATTTTAGAAGAATTATTTTGTTTATTTTTCATCTTAAGTGTTAGCTGCAGAACTGTAGCTCTCTGAAAAAATATATATTGACAGACGGGAGAGCTACAGTGCCACCCATAGAAAAAACTGTATATTTATTGTGCACTTTTTGTGCGCAGTTTCTCGATTTATTTCTCAGTGTTTTTAAAACTGTCATCTCAAAATATTACTAAACGTGTGTTTCTAACATATTCTTTCACTGTTTCCACAATAAAACATTCCTTATAATTGTTTTTAACAGCCCTCCTGGCCCTGAAATTGAAATCATTGAAAATTTTGCCTATTTATACTGCCATTTTGGTCTTCACGAGAATTCGGTCCAACGCACTTAGTACAAGTGTAAACTACGAAAGTTATAGAGGAGTAAGGACTTTTTTGAAATGTAGCTTTTTTTTCAATTGAGGTAAGAATTTCGAAGAATTAATTCAGAACCGAGCGCACTTTTTTGTGCGCAATAAATATACAGTTTTTTCAATGGGTGGCACTGTAGCTCTCTGGTCTGTCAACATATATTTTTTCTGAGAGCTACAGTTCTGCAGCTACTTAAGTGTAAAATATTTGAAACTAAGTTTATATATATTATAGTACATTGATATTTATAACGGCGTCTGTGTTGTAATCGGTAGCGCGTCGGAATGACAATCTCGGGGTTGTGAGTTCGCTCCCAGGCGTGGGCGCAGTCAGTTTTTCTTCAGAAAATGAAGTCGTGCACTATTTCGGCATAGTATGCTTATGCTATTTAAATCCTTAGAACACTATGCAAGAATAGTAGGGTATGGGTTATGTAGAGACAAACTGACAGGAAGCATAATAATTGACAATATGCATTTATGACAAGAAAATTGAAAATCTTCCTGAAAGAAGTTGAATAAATTTAAGCCACTTAAGTACCAATCTAGTTAAAATTAGATGTTAGATCCGCTCACATAGTCACTACAGTCAGTTTAGCGAGTATGCGTGCGGATCTAACATCTTATTTAAATTACACGTAGATTGCTGAGGTAAAAGTTTAATACATGTACCCAATATCATTCTGCTATATTTGCATCCGCGTGGGTATTAACAGTGAGCATTAACTAACTGTGGCCTGGACCTCTTATTTTATGTGTTATGGGGTGTCCAAAACAAGGTGCATGCTGACGTTTAACAAAGAAGAAACTTGCAATGGCCTAAGGTGACTTGGCTATTATCAGTTGAATACATGTCAATGGTGCATGGTTATTATATGTACCAAAAAATAACAAGTAAAAGATCAGCAGAGTGCTTTTATTAAAGAAGTAACAGAACTAAGGAAAACTTGTTTTCTACTGGATGATATGAAACAATGAGTAGAGTACCACCGCAAATATTTCTGGATCCATGCCCTTTCATCATGTTTATTTTTGAACGGGTTCAATGAACTGTCAAAAATTCTTGATATGTTAAGTAGGTGTAGGTAGAAAGTTTTGAAATTAGTGAAAAGGTTGTTAAATATTTTTAATGCAAACTACCAGTAAATGTGCATAATGAAGATGGTTGAATTTTTTTCAACATTATTTTCTGTTCATTTGTCAGATCGGGTTCGTTATGAGTAAAATAATTTCCAGCTGTCATTGGAACAAAACAAGGCATGATCAGGATCATACAAAGAAAATTAAAAGTAAAAATTAGGTAAATTATTACAGTTTGTGCATCTAAATAAGTTTTAAAACTCTCTTAAGAATCTCAGAGTGACTGATACGACCCAATTTCATGTGATTTTTTAATTGGAAACCTATCAGTTTAGTGCAGCAAACAGGCAAAGATCTAACAACGTGCATGGATCTGATCATGTTGTAAAGCTTGACAAATGGCACTTATGCAATAAATTAACCTAAATGATTAGGAGGAAAATAAACATAAAAAGATTTGTTCTTCCTTAATTGCATTTTTTATTTTTCCCATTCAAAATTTACATACAAGGAATAAAAGAAGGTAATCTACATACAAGGGAAATTGCCTTTTTACTTAAAAAAAAAAACAAAAAAAAAAAAACTGAAAGTTATAGAGATAAAACCACTTTCGATTTTTTGATCTTTAATCATTGAAAAAATTAAACATTACCCCAAAATTGGTTAATTTTAAGAAATTAAAAAAAAATGGTTTAGGAAACACATAACTTAAATGAAAATAAATAATTAATAGTAGTTAAACTGTTCAATAGTTTCTTTATTTGGTTTAAAACTGTTGTTTCTTTATCCCATGGGAGAATTTTTTTCTATTTTGTAATGAATATGGGATAAATCCCACATTTATAAAGAGATGGGAGATTATCTTCTATATACAAGTATATGGGAGATTTTGTCCCATTATAAAGCATTCATGGGATTTTCAAACTTCTATGGGAGAAAAAATCCCACAGAATACCTTTTTCTCCCACAGAATAATGGTGGGATATTGGTTAGGAGAAAAAATCCCACCATTATCCCATGGGATTTCTTGGTTTCAGGTGTAATATCTTTTTACCTAGAAGATAATCAGGTGTAAATTTTGGTTCATGTGTTAAGTTTTAAAAAATCCCATCAGATGACATAAATGGTTTCCACATATCTTTGGAAAAGTGGTTGGCGAAAGTCCGGACAAATGTCGTGTCCGGAGTTAAATGTCGCACTGTTTTATTCATACTTTATATCAATGACAATATCGTATTGGTTCGTATTTAGCTTGATGTTTCTTACTTTTTGTTGACCATACTTCTTAGGAAAATTTGTCAATGTTGCTTTACCAGTTAGATGAGTAAATACTTTTTTATTCGGGACATTAGTATGAGAAATAGTTGTGAACAGATGTGTCCGAGGGAATTTGTACATTGTACATGTTCATGTGTGGCCTCGGATAAATGATAAAAAGGGATCGATAATCTATCAATATACTTATATTTTCCTTGTACCAACTAATATTATTTACAGAGATTTAAAAAAATATATTACAATAAAAATGATCATCAAAAACTCTTTTTTTTCCTGATAAAAGTTAAGAAATATTATGGTTGATATTCAGTATCTTATAGTTGGGAAAGGAACTTATTTCGAGAATGGGACAGGATTTTTTTATATTTTCACAAGTGCGAAGCACGAGTCAAAATATTTAAAAAATCCGCCTCACGAGTGAAATAAAGTCCATATTCAACTAAAAAAAAATATTGAATTTTCTATTTATTACATTTTCTTTGATTTTCCTTTTTTCCGTAACACAGTGCCATAGTCTTTGACATCAAAGTTGAGCGGTTGATTCGTTGTGAGATTAAAAACATGGATTTCAACAATATATTTGGAGACATTTGATAGTTTTAGTCTCTCAGGATGGTTTATTTAGTCTCTCGTCTTGTATCAGATCAGGGAGTAATTTTTTTCTCTTCGCAAAGAGAAGGAAAATCAAGAATTTTGCCGCACTTCTGATATTCTTTCACATTGTGACAAAATATTACTTTTAGTCAAGAAATGAAATTTACAATATTTCACTGAAAATGAAATAAAAGAGCATTATTGTTATGTTTAAACAATTTAATGAATTTTCGTGTATGAAGTATTTCATCACTTTTTATGTCTTTATGTAAGACTTTAAGATATACTGGAAGTATGTTGATTTCTTCTATTCTACATATTGATGAATTTTAATGAAGGAATATAATAGAGATCCGCCAGGAAAGGAAAGGGAATATGTATTTCTCTTGCATTCATTTGCTGCAAATTCAGAAAAGCTATTTATGTTCCTTTATTCTTTAAGCAGTTACTTGCTACAATTTTACAAAACTTATAATGATAAAAAAAAACTTCATTCCCCGAAGAAGGAAACACTGATATTTGATATATTTTATATCTGCAATATTTAACAGATGAATTCGGAGAGGACTGCTCAGTGTCGTTAGAGGATGTGAATGAGAATCTCGAGATTTACGCTGAATATCATGGTAAAGATGTTTCGTCTTGGTGCGATTATTTTTCATTTAATGGAAGAGGAAGAAAGATCTTGGATGAATATGAAATCTGTGTTAGACCAATATATTTCAGGGATCCAGACTGTTCCCTAAGATTGGACTATAAATCTTCTTACAACGGTCGAACACTACAGGTACTCTTATAAACCCTACTTCATTCCAATGCCATACATAATACGAGGGTAATTAAAAAAATCCATAAGACAATGTCGCTCTTAGTCATGTATGTACATATATACCTTACGTATTTTTCAGGAATTCAAAGTCAACACATTATAATATATAAAAACATTCATTTTGTCGATGTTTGCAATTTCATTTTATTTGATCCAACGGAACTCTTCCGTCATCACGGAGAACATTTGATAATATTGTAACATCAAAAACATAACATCATGTCAGTTTCTCAAAGATAGCCCCTGTACATTTCACGAACAGCCTTACACATTCACTAAAAATGTTCTGTTGCCACTTGATATTTAGTTTGCTAACAATTGTACATGTTCTTTACCTTAAGTTACATGTAATTCATCAATGCTCTCTCTCTCTCTCTTACTTTATAACCCTGCTTTCACATGTTCCACATTAGAGAGGCGCTCATCACTTTACATAACATTACTAACTCTTGACCAGAGTTTTATTCCCTTAGACTGTCCATTGTCCGATGCAGACTTAAACCTTTTGCCACTTATACAAAAATGCATGGCTCACTTTTGAATTTTAATATCTGGTTCCCGCTTCTTCAATCATTGTAGAGTTTACTAGAGTGCAATTATTTACGAAATTGTACTGACACTCGCTGCTCCCTGACGTCCTGCAACGTCAATTTTTTTTTTTTTTTTTGGGGGGGGGGGCTTTTTCAATGAGGACTAAAATGTCTTCTGAAATTGATTTCTGCTCAGCAAGGCAATATATTAGTTCACAACTGCAGGGTTTGACACTAAGGCACGTCCGACCGACCCAGTCTAGTAAAAGAGCGGTCCGGTCGTGTCAAATGTTCGTGAACTAGACCGACTGGTCGTGTGGATGAAATAATGTTAACCCTCATTGCAGTCTTCCAAATAAATGTTCTAAAAACATTTTAAAGAAATTTTCTTAATTTTGCGATTGTAAACACAGCCATCGCTCTGAAAAAGAAAACTTCCCCGCATGACACAATCGCTGTTTTTAGCCCGGCTGTAATAGACAACTCGCGATCGAAACTAACCAAGTTATCGAATAATATATTCTCTAATTTATTTATATTTACGGTAATATTTTTTTTTATTTCCTTGAATGTTCTTTAAAGCCCATAATATTCGCATGTTCCGCATAACCCGATTCAATGGGCTGCGACCTATGGAAAGTGTAATCTTAACACGTGCTAGAGATAGTATGGTTTCGAACTTTTTTCATTAAAATACCAGGTTATAAAAAGAAAATTGTCAAGTTTAGTCGGGGCTTGTGATTTTATGGTCATGGCTAGTAAAAACTATGGGAAGTAGCCCGACTGGTCTAGTACTCATTAAAGTTAATGTCAAACCCTGCAACTTGACAGTTATACCCAGTTTCAAGGTTTAAATTTTATGCCGTTTTAGCGCCATTTTAAAGAGATATTACATTAGACATTATATACTGTATTTTTATATTGTAAATTATTAAATTGTGACGTGCTCCGTGACCCCAGTTTTGTAGTTTTCAATTTACAATTGCAATTTAATGGAATTTATCATGATATATTTAAGTTTTTATATTTCAATATGTATATATTTTGTTAAAATATATCTGTGGTATTTAGTTAAATTATGAATTTAACTATATAAAACAGTTATGACAAAAATTGCGTTATATTTGAAAGACCCTCGTATTTGGGAAAAATCATTGACGGTCAAAGGGAAAAGGGGGGGGGGTGATGCGACGTTTAATGAAAGTTTTTTGTTCTTGGGTAATTTTAACTCCCTAGGAATTTTACCAGCGAAAACTTCAAAAGTTCATTCAAAAGAAATGCTTAGGTGAAAAGTTTGTTAATAACAAGAGTAAAAAGTACTTCCCTAATTCTTTTAAATGTCATTTACAGTATAATATATCAGTCAATACATGTTGGCAAGTACACTGAGTACATACATGTACAAGGATGACAAGAAGGCAATGAATCATACCCAAATAAATACACGTAATAGACATTTTAGGAAAATAAAAACTACTATCATTATTTTTTATTCATTTATTTTTGCAGAGTGTAAGTTGCGAGAAAAATTCCAACACAAAATATTGTGGTTCTCAGGACGAATACTTGTACATATATTTTGAAAAGCGCAACGGTAAATCAACGTCAAAAGCCAGCTTTAGACTTCACATCACCGCTAGAAAGGTTTTTGATTGTAAGTTTCCTTTTTTCAATTTCCTTAAGGAAGAGATTGCAAGGGTACGTGAAAAAAATCCGCTCTATGAATTTTTCTCATTTTTACATATAACTTGCCTTACGTTAATGGTATCATAATATGAAAATGTCAACCATGGTCATCAGGGTTATAAGGAAGATATGGTTGCCATGGTAACCACCGTTTTTCAATATTTTGATATTTATGTAGTGAATTTTTAATTATGCCATACAGGTATCAAAATTGAAACAAATTAAATAATTTTCACCAGATATTGAATAATATGCTTTATATTCATCGAAAATAAAAATTGTATCGGAAACTATTGATAGATGTACTACATGTAATGCCACAGTTGCTTTGGGGAGTAGTCATTGTAAATTTGCAGTAATATTTTCACCCCTAGAGCAGTTTTCAACGTCTTGACAAAAATTGCCCAATGAATTTTCCTAAAATTAATATATTTTGTAACAATTATTATATGTGACTTATGGTTAAAATATGAAGTGGGGTCATCACATTCTTTTTTAAGCTACATGCATTTCAATACCCCCCCCCTTCCTAAAATATTGAAAGATTTCATAAATTTTAATCTGATGGTTTCTTGCTGAACCTTTAATATGCATAATCTGTTATAAACTATAGAAAATATGTATAGATTAATAAATATCATTTTTAACGTTGAATTAATATCTTATATACATGTAACGTTAAAAATGATCTTTTGTTATTCATACTGATCTCGACTGTACGGAGGCCCATTTAGGACCTATCAAAAATATTTTTGAATTCGATATAACGAATTGTCGTATTTGTTATAACGAATTTAATCCTTTATAACAATTTCTTTAAAATGGTTATAACGAATTATATTTGTTATAAGAGATTTTTTTGAATTCCTAACAACGAATTCAAAAAAGTTATTATAACAGATTAATTCGTTTAAACGAATCCGAAAATTTGTTATAAATAATTAAATTCGTTTATACAAATTCTAAAATCTGTTATAACGAATTATATTCATTTAATCAAATTCAACATTAGAAAAATTATGTGAATTTGATATAAGGATTTGTCGAATTCGTTTTAAGGAATTTAATTCGTTATAAAAAATTAAAAATTAAAGAAATCGTTTTAGCAGATTTAATTCGTTATAAAAAGTTTCAGAATGCTTTCTCATAATGAATTTACTAGTAATTTATGATAACAAATTTTTGAGTTCGTTTAACGAATTCAACAATTGTGTTTTAACAGATTGAATTTGTTATAACAAATTCAAAGAAATTGTTATAACGAATTATATTCGTTATAACATATTCGACAATTCGTTATATCGAATTCAAAAATATTTTTTGATAGGATCTAAATGGGCTTCCATACGACAGAGATTCGATTTGGCTGGATATTTGGACTGCATGGCGCCTGTCGAATACAAAAATTATAACGTCACAGAAATCATCATTTGAACGGAAAATATATTAAGTCCTGGTTTTTAACTTTACATACATACAGAGGAAGCAATGCACTTTTAATAGTAATAATGAATCACTTAAGCATTGAAATAACATATTTAAAGCGATTGGCAATCTAAAACCGGCTGAAGTTGAGTCTGCATGAATTTCAAGACTTGAATTATTAAACACTGTCTCGAGATTCGACAGGCATCAGTCCAAATATCCAATCAAGTCGGAGGTTAGATATCATAATATGTTTTGATTACTGATTTATTTAATTACTGCTTTTAAATGAAAAAAAAAATAGACGAAGAAAATCAGAAGAGTCTTGTTGGAGCGATCGTTGGAGGTGTCGTGGGGGGTTGTTTTTTCGTCGCAGTTGTGACGGGTATCTGCTGCTGGTGTGCCTGCAGGCGGAAGCCATCGCAAGGCCAAGTATTAAACCCAACGCAAGCAAATGCAGGTTTGCAATGATTTCCAGTCTTACAGAAATTAATCTTTAAGGAAAATTATTCATTTAATTTCAATCCGTATAGATTTGTTTATTTACTATTAGTGAAGGAGAAATTCGAGTTGAGAAATTATTTATGTATGTAATGAAAATTTCACATGCCCTATCTTTCATCCAATTAAACTAAATTTTCTGATTTTCATCATGGAATATTTTGATCATTATATATATATATATATATATATATATATATATATATATATATATATATATATATATATATATATATATATATATTATATATATATATATATATATATATATATATATATATATTAAAACATTACCTTCCATGAAATGAATCTTATGGACAATTCTCCTATGTGTGATGTTTATGATACTTCCCTTAAATTGTTTTTTAAATATTTCGTTTCCTCTTTTTAACCATAATAATTACACCATCAGTCGTTTATTTTTTTAACAACTTTTAGTTGATATTAAATTGATCGCTAAATAAAATTAATGGTGTCTTTGAAAAAGAACATTTTTTTCTTGTTTTGTAGTTCCCTTGGTCAACCAACCAGCTTATCCTTATCCATCACATAATGTACAACATACAGAAAACAACACTGGTACTTATCCACCTGCCAACTATGCAGCACAGTACACAGCATACAATTCACAGCCTCAGTACAATCCACAGCCTGGGTACAATACACAACCTCAGTACAACACACAGGCTCAGTATAATTCACAGCCTCAATATGATACACAGCCTCAATATCAGTCCTCAGAAACAAGTGGATGGCAAGAACCGGAAAAACAAGCATCAGCTCCTCCCCCTAGCTATGATGAAGTCAACAAATGAAATGATTTCCTATCTGTGTTGATTCAAATTTTATGCATAAAGTTCTCATATCATATCCGTCAAAAAATGTGCAAATGTTGTGGGTCTGTTGGTGTTTTTTTTTATTCTGAACATAAGAATATGTTGATTTTTATTGATGATTTTTAAATTTACAATTTACACTTATTTGTGCTTTGTTAACACGAGTATAATGAACTTACCTGTACTGTACTGTCGTTTTTACACTTTGATTATATGTACACTAAACAAAATTGTTAACGCACCAGTCAGTACTTTCATCTGCAAATGCGACATCTACTTCTTCCACATGAGTAAACTTCAAGGATATCAAACAAAATGTCAAGCAAGATGTTGCCTAGTAATAACTCTGTGCTTCGGAATCCTTACCCGGTCCATCGCACATCCGGTTGTCATAGTTTTATTTGTACAATCTTGTAATATTTGTTTGGTGACTATTAAATGCCGTGTTTGTCCACAGAAGACATTTTTATATTAATTAATCTAATCAAAGTACTTTTTATTCAATTAAAAACAATTTTTGAATGGCTTTTTTGAAACAAACATCTCATAAGGAACACCTTGCAGACACCATACCAACTACTCTTCTATGGTCAAACGCTGCTTACTCTGCAATGTGTTCTTTTTAGTTTTCAATGAATTCAAGAACATAAAGAACACAATTCCAGAGAAGAAAATGGAAATGTATTGCTCTAAAACGTTTGAGCACGGTTTTCATTTATTTCTTTGAAATGGTTACACTCAAGTTATCAGCTGTTTATTCACTTGTTTTGGCATTTAAACATCTTATTTCTAAAAATGGTTACATATTTGTATGTCAGATAACTCTAAAAGAACCTTTAAAAAAGTAAACATTACTTTTCTATGATAGTGCTTTAGCAATTTTGTCTAGTGTACAATGTACATATAATACAAGATAGTTTTATAAATTGCCATTTTAAGAGCGCGGTCCCTAAAATATATATATTAATGTGTTTTTAGTACTATTTTAAACTTGCCTATAGAATATTAGTATAGTCAAATTACTATATATATATATATATATATATATATATATATATATATATATATATATATATATATATATATATATACTTCTGAAATTATTTTCCTTAAATGAACTTATTGTTTAAAAAATAGTTTCAGTACTTTGGATGATAACCACGATTACCTCGTAGTTATCCAATTTACTATCGCTCTATTGGAATATTCGTCTCAAATGTAAATACAAGTAATAAATAACAAGTTTAAAAAAGTTCACTGGGAAATGAACTTGGTTGGTACGTGATCAAATCTACCAAGAATTCATTGTTCCACTGTATTCCCAGATTGTTTATGGATGGCTATTATGCATCTTTTGAATTTGTGTATGATCTGTTTTGTTTATTTGAAGTTTTTTTTAAAATTGTATGTGCTGTTTTTCACTAAATTCTATTTCAAACTTGTTCATTGTTACATCATTACATGTATTAATTCTAAATATTAATACATGTAATATATGAAAATATTCAGTTTGCTGATAAAAAACTGTACGCATGTTCAAAAGGAAGTTGATTTTTTATGATATTTAATTTGACAAGTACAATACTTGGTGAAGATGAATTTTGACTTAAAACTTTAATTGCTGCTATGCTATGCATATACAAATCTTACCCGCAATTATAAACACAGGCACAAAAAAGCACTTATTAGAAATATACATGTATATGGTGACGTGCTTTGGAAAGATCGCAGATCGATTTAAAAAAATATAGTGGTTGTAATGGGATGGGTACTCTTATTAATATAATATTATGTTATCATTCTTTTAAAACATTGTTTCCTGTATACATCTATAAAAAAATAAAATGTATAACATTTCTCGTTTTTTTTACTGAGCGGTCAAAAAAGCTGTTAATCCTCTAGATGAAATGTTGGACCGGTTGAATAGATCTTAGACTTCTACTAAAAAAAAGGTAGGATCAGTGTTCAACAGGTTTAGAATTGACCAAGTTAAATAGTCAGTGCGTATAAACAAAAGTAACATGAAAGTTTTGCCAATTTCTTCATAACATTTAGGTCATACTTTGCAATTCAAATTAAAAGTTAATCGTACAACAAAACATTTACTGAATGTGTTCTCGGGCAACATGCATTTTGCCGAACCCTCAAACCAAAGGGTTTTTTTTTTTGGTTTCTTTAGTTTGACAAAACACATGTTGCCCTTTAGGGCATTCAATAAATGTTTAGTAATATCGTCGTATGTATGTCCTACAGTAATTCATATGTAAAAAAGTATGCACAATTACATAATCAGTTAGGAGGCTACACTTTCATAATGGTGAGAACCTCGCGCGAGTCGGCCCTCTTGCTGAAATTTTTTCTCGCGTCTATTTGTGTAAAGATTACATATAACAATATCCAAAATTTGATACCTCTCCCCTGTTATAAATATCAAAGGAATACAAGATATAGCGAAAAATTGGTGATTAGCAGTAATACACCTCTAACGTGATGGAAAAACGGAAGGGCAAAATATGAAACTCTTGAAAAAATTATGAATCTTTACATTTACCTAAAATAAGTTGAATGAATTTTGAAAATACTATGGATGCACACTACCAGGCTTGCTTTGGATGTTGGATCTGACCTACATTTTCCGGATGAGTGACCAGGTTAAAAGGAATGACAGACACCTCGGCCCATTGACATCTAGGCTCAGACGGGTCGGCCCAAGATTTAAGACAGGTCGGCCCATATATAAGACACCGCGGCCCAAGCAAAATTTTACTATGAAATATTTTTTTTTCCAATTTTGAGAACTGAATTAAATATTGATTTAAAAATGTACATGAATAAACTATCAAGATGTTTTTAGGAAGACTTTCCACGATCGCGAGCACATTGAAGATATTCAAACAAAATGCCGCGGCGCATCCTTTGGAGGGAAGTGCGTGTTAACAGGGGGTTAATGACTTAATTGGGAGACTGTAATTTAATATTTTCTCATTTATTTCTAAAAAAAAAAAAAAAGAGAAAAAAGAAAAGAAAAAAAAAAAAAGAAAGAAACATACAATGAAGTACAGACCAAGAATGCAACTATTTGACATGTTTAAACATAGTTCTTTATACGATAATAGAACTATGTAAACAATAAAATGTCTTTCATTTCTTCTTTTTCTTCTTCTTTTTTAAATACAAGATTAACGGTTGCAACCCTGATATTGCCAAAAAAAAAAAACATTTCCCACAAGACTTAGATGTTAAAGAAAGAATGCTCTAATAAAGTTGGAAAAATAAAACGATTAGTTATCAAAGACCCCCATTTTTTTAATTTAAAAAATCGTTTAATCATCAGAATGAATAATTTCACCAATAATAATGTCAGTTCAAACGGTTAATCTGTTAATTTTGTTTGGGCCGAGGTGTCTTTTATATGTGCCGACGTGTCAACAATCTTGGGCCGACCTGTCAGGACCGAGGTGTCAAGTGTGTCGGGCCAAGGTGTCGTTGGGCCGAGATGTCCAGCTGCCGTTAAGAGTTTTGGAGCAGGTGCATTCTAAAGTAACTATTTGCCCTACCTGGACCAAACGTTCATTGATGTTGCATCAAGAGATGAACACTCTCAAACTTGCTTCAGATGCTGGATTTGACTTACATTTTCTGGATCAGTAACCAGTTTAAAGTTTTAAGGTAAGTCCATTCTCAAGTAACTGCAAATCCTATCAGAGCAAATTGCATAAATGTTGCATCTAGGGATGCACACTACTAGATAACTAAGTTTTATGTGGGACTTTGCCTTACTTAAAGACAACATTTGTTGAGGTGAGCTCTGTAATCTCTGATTACCTATGTTTCGCATAAGTGATAATATTCCTCTATTCAAAGGTTGGTATTCTTATATCAGGGTATGAAATGTATTCCAGTGACAACGATACATTTTTAATTTTCCTATTTCGTTGCGAAAGAAACCCCATTGTTTGTCATATGTGTTCTGCCTTTGTGTTCATTGATAATGCCAAAGTGATGATTCAATTTATTTAGTCATGTTAGGTTTAACAATTTTTCATGAAATTTAATCACAATTACGGAGTGCACACAGAAGGATAACTATTATCAATTACATCAAGGTAATTATACTTTGCGCAAATTCAGGGCTTTAGAAACATCTACTCTAGATAGCTTTTGCAATATGAAAATGTTTAAACCTCGTTTATCTTTTGGAATAAAAAAAAAACTGTTTCACAAAAAAGTAGAATTATCGGCATTCCCGTAGCTTTCTCTGGAGTTTTTTATTTTTTAGTTTTGATGTCATTACATTTTAGTAGTGTTAACGATTTCTACGTTTTAGGGAATTTCTGCTTTAGGTTATACCAAACTTTGAAAAAGTTTCAGAATCATGTCATAACGCAACAACATAATCCAAATGAATAATCTTTTCACAATGAGTACAAAAGCATATAGAATTGCATCCGACATGCTTTGGCCAATTCGTACCTCATCTAACCTCGAGGTATGATGAAGGCGACGAAATCATCCGAGTTTCGTCGAATGAGAGGATTGCTCAAAGGTGAAGGCTCCCTAATCCATCCTCTAACTATAAAGAGTTTAGATTTTAAAGTTTTTAATAATTATAAATACAACTCCATGAATAATACGGTTAGTCCTAATGCTATCCATACATTGTGTCATCAGTCACAGTTGAATGCACTTCTACAATAACACACCTTGAGGTAAGCTGGTTATAATTTCTCCGTATATTTATACTTTTCATATTTCATTAGTGTTACTATTTTCAAACCTAGTATTAAAATATAATCGCCAAAAATTATCAAAATGAGTGTTACAGTAATTGAAATCTGATTTAAACGTGAGATTTCCAGATTTTTTTACCAGGTATTTGAAAAATTTGTAAATCTACACTGATAATAAGTTGATAAACCACCTATTGGCTAAAAAAAAGAAATGATGATTAGAATAGAAATGAATCACAGAAAAATTAATAATGAATCTTTTAAAAAAAACTTAGAACCATTCAATTCTGTTTACTAAGGACAGGTCCAGAATGAAAAGTTATCAATTTGCCTCTAGGCATCCTGTTCTTTAATCATATCTTATCTACTTGAATATAGCATGAGTTCCGTGTTTAGAACATTTCCCACAAAATTCATTACAGTTACACATGATTTATTCTAATGAATTCATACCGAAAGCAGTTGAGGTTAATAAGAAAATTGGAATAAATCTCGTATTTTCAAACAACTGAAAACCTAAAGTAAATCTTAGTTACATGTAAATATACACGTAATTGTGGCGACATTTCAAGTATTTTATTATTATTATTATTATTATTATTATTTTCTTTTACAAATCCTTAGTTAAAATTTTTGCATAGGATTTCCATTCTAATTATAAACAATTAACAAATCATAAATGAACATGTTGCAAAGAATTTATTGGAAATATCAAACCAAAAAGGGCTAACGATGTATAATTGTATCATTATGTATCAATGTGTTTGTTATACGATGGGTGATCAAAAAGTTCGCAAACTATCTTTATATTTACAAAACCACCATTCAGACCAGAATGAAATTTGGCATACATATAGTCATACACATGTTCTATAAATAGCATATCATATGCAATGTTTTTCCCATGTTTTTGACATCTCAATGTGAAAATGACGTCAATATGTAGATGACTTGTGTCAAAAAATGGTTGACTCAATCGTACTCAAGTAACGAACGGCTGTAAAATTTAAATTAAATCTTGGAAATTCCTTTGTAGTAGCATATGATAATTTGTACAAGGTTTATGAAGACAACAAACTTGCCAGAAGTCAATCATTAACTTGATTTGTCTGTTTTAGTGAAGGAAGGAAGATGGTTAAAAATGATGTTTGTTCTGTTATCCAGTGAAAGCAAGCTGGAGAAGAGATGTGTCCTTAGTTGAGCAATTTGTTATGAAAGATCGCCAAGTTACAGTTAGAAATATAGTAGAATATCTTAACAATAATATAATTATTAAATCGATCCTAAAATATCGCTCACTTTAGACTTTAAACATATCAGATATGATAAAAAAAGGCGCCTATACGTTATCGGATAAACGACGCTCTGAAGACAGAAGACTCGGGCTGTGATCTTCATCATGCTCCTCCTGGGAAAGGATATTCTTATTCACCAATCCTATTACCGAGATTTAGCCATTTTTGACAAACAGACTGTTCTTGTTATAAAAAGTAAATTGCATGGTAAGAAATATAAGACTCGGAAAACTCTTTTAGCTTCTGTGAACAGAACGCTATGGAGCTGGTGACGTGACCACTTGGATCACGTGATTCGCTCATGGGAGAATGGTTTCAAATGTGCTTTAAAATTGGAGAGGACTACTTTAAAAATAATGAATACTGGAACATAATCTTATTTCTTTCATGGAAGTATTCAATTAGTTCGCGAACTTTTTGATCACCCCTCGTAAATATAAGCCATTTCATACTAATGAATTAAATTTAAAAAAAAAGAAGTGAAGAAAAAGAAAGAGTAGACTCTTAAACATCATAGCCAACCTCTTCCTCAATAAAAATGAAACTCGAAATTTGTTTTATATCTCATAGTTGGTCATCTGCGAATTTACTTTGTTAAAAATCATTGTGATTTAAGATACAAGTACTCTGAAGTTAATATTAAAAAGACGCTTTAATTCCTCATTGATAAAATCTGTTAAACAATTACAACCTGTTGTTAGGTAGAATATTGACTGGGGTTTTACTACAATTTTTTTTACTATACTACATGTGCGTTTACTCAATCAAGATAACGACCTCAAGGTGGGCGTGATGTGACCGATCGAGAGAGGAGCGCTTGCTACTCCATGGCACCTGATCTCACTTGTGATGTTTTCTGAAGTTCGTGTTTACTCGAGCTCTGCACTCAATTTGTATTGTTTAATTGGACTTTTGAGCATGATTACATGACTACTGTTCATTATATTCTAATTTCATACAGTCAGAGGGAGGACGGAATCATCAATCGATAAACCAGATTTTGCACCAACCCACTCCAACTCTACTAAAAATAAAGCAAAACAACATTTAAAAAAAAAACAAAGAGAAACTAATCCACATAAAAACACTTGAACTACGCAAAGAAACGAAAAAAAGGAGTTTTGGTTCTACATATAATAAAATCGAAGAATATAATTTTCACGAGGCACAAGATTTCAAGATGTAATATAAAATTGAAATATTGTAATCGATGATCTCCATGGAAAGTGAACAGTAACTAATCTCAGAAATCCGTTAAACAAAACAAATCGTGAACATTCAAAAGAAACCCGGAGGCCCCTGGAATTTCCAGAGGGAAATTTAGGGGGAGGAAATATTACCTTGGAAAAATAAATATATTAATATTATGTGTTATGGCTGTAAATTCAACACTAAAAGATCATGAAAGGATTAATAATGATGTAATAGTAATTTACATGTACGTCCGTAATTAAAAGCAAATAATGACATTGGAAAATCTGTTTCTGAAGTAAAGAAACTGAAATTAAAGTATATCAAGTTTTATTAAGCGCACTCAAGATTAAGGCTTTAGATTTTTAAGTCTGTAATGGGAAATGTTTTGTTTGTTTATTGTTTAATGTTTAATGTCCCTCTCGAGAATTTTTCACTGATATGGAGACGCCGCAACTTGCCGGTGGAAAGCTGCAAATTTTGACCTATACTCAGCGCTCAGGGCCATTAAGCAGTGAGGGATCTTTTTCGTGGCAGCACCTACTGCGAAACGGGACCTCGGTTTATACGGTCTCATCCGAAGGACCAGTCTCCACGTCCCACAGTGGGATTCAAACCCGCGACGTAAGGATCTACTCCTTACTCCGCGACTCTAGAGCGAACGCTCTAACCACGGCGCCTCGTGGGCGTAATGGAAAATGAATGGAACTTGTTCTCTTTATATAAGCATTTAGATCATTAAAACCTTTGATCGGCCTTTACATATATTGCTAGACATTTGTAAAGCAATAAGCTTGAATGAAGTATGAAGATCACGAACCTTATTCAATCTCGAAAGTCCAACGAAACGATAAAAATTTGGACCTCAAAATTTAGAGGTGAAATCAGGTGCCATGGAGGAGTGAGTATCCCCTGCCGACCGGTCCCAACCGTCGTGTGCTCCTTGTCATGATCAAATGATTTGATATTAATCAGATCGCAGGCAATTAATAATGCAATTATTATTCGACAGCTATGAGATGAAGAATGTGTTCTCCAGGATTCGCAAGCAAATATGTATTTGTTGCAATTGCATCCATTGTCAAAGTGTTTGCACAGATTCCTAGTGCAACATGTAAGTTTCCTTACTACTTGAACACTTCAATTTACTTTGTTTCAGTTTTTATACCTCCTGCAAAAGAAGATTAGGGGGGTTATAGGGGAATCAGTATAACCGACTATCCGCCTGTCTGTAGATTTTTTCTGATTTTTTCCGGACTTGTTCTCGGAGACTATTGCATTGATTTGTCTGAAAAGTTGCACACTCATTATTAACCACATGAAGGTGTGCACCTGGTATTTGCATCACGAATGAATAATTTTCTTCTTTTACAGATGTTTTCTTCTCATTTTTATTGACCTAGTCATTTTGGCTTTGTGTAAGTTTGAGACATCGAATCTAGAACTGCCAGTTGGTACATCTGACAATGTACAAAAATGCAGCTTAAAACTACTCATCTAAACTCAAAAAAAAAAACCCAGAAAGTATTAAACAATTGTTTTTGGTAGATAGTCGCTACAAATCTAAGAGTCATGCAGTAACCTTATTTAAAACATTGCATCAAGATAACACAGTTTTTGTCACAATATAAAGCTTTGTAACAAATTTAAACAAAAATCTTTGTTTTCAACAAAATGACACAAATGTGCATTTTCTATTGTGCTACAGACTCACGGTGCATTACATAGCAGATAGTGTTAATCCATTTGTCCCTATTAGGAGTAATGGGTGGACATGCATCCAGTTAAAGATTAATTGATGAGTTCAATGAGGAAAGCCGTCTGAGCATATCTGATCTAGCTAGCAGGTGTTATCTATACCTCCTGAAAATTATGTAGAAGAATTAAAGACTCTCTTAATTGGAATTTATAGTCTATCAAATTAAAATACTTAGTTACTGGATGACCATCCTTTTATGTTTAAAATGAATTTGATATAAACTTATCAAGATTAAGTTGATGTTGTATGATATAATTTTTTTTTCAGCAAATAAATGGCAGAGTGTCATGTCTCACAAAGATGACAGATACATGTAGTTGCAATTTATTTTTTTATCTCATAAAAAACAATATAATTATAACTAAAGTTTTGATGTTTTATTAGGTGGGCCTCAGTTAATCATTCATTAAAAATATAATGAGCAATTAAATTTTCACTGTTAATGTTTAAACAAATTGTGAACACCTGTTAGATCCATAAAACATGTTAAGTGAATTGGCACCTTTTCTGAAGATCCCAGCTGTTCATTTGTCATTTTGGGCAGTTCTAGTTAGAAATCCTTTTATATTTTACCTCATTCCCTTGTCTGTATCATGTAGAAATATAATCATTATCATCCATATCTTCATTTCTGCTTCCATTTTAAATTTTTGTATTATTTATGTAAGAGTTTTTACCTTGTAAACCTTGTGATACCTCATGAGAAAGATTTAAAATTTGAGAATCATGATCTATATGTAAATGATAGGAGAAATTAAAGTTGACATTTTTTATCATTACGTGAAAAAAAAATCCTAAAGAAAGCAATGCAAAACCATAATGACTGGTAAATTAGTTGTTAAAATCGTTTTAAAGAAATTATATATGTTTTAATGAATGCAACATTGAAAAAAATTCAAACCTATTCTCATAAATTAATTAGGAAAACGTAAGGGTTACTCACAAAATCCATAAACATTGATCCTCTCAGGAACAATGATAATTCCACAATAAATCAGAATTTGGCAATTTTAATGGATATTTTTGTTCATTTATTTTTTTTTATTTTGAAGATGAATTTGGAAGAGACTGCAATGTACATCTTGAAAACGTGAATGAGGATCGTCCAGTAGACGTAACATACAACGGAGAAAAAGTTTCATGCTCGAATCATTTTTCATTTAGAATTGAAAACCAAGTTAATTCGGATACCTATGCAATTTGCGTTACACCCAAATATTTCAAGGACCCAGATTGTGCTGTTGAATTAAGCTTTGAATATGCATTTACAGCTAATAAGCTTCAGGTGAAGTCTTTTATTTTAAGTACAATTTTCTTGTTCGTACAAGAGATAATTATATCACATTTTATCTTAATATCTCTAAAGGGGCCTGGACACAGATTTGAAGTTAATATTTTCTCAATTTTTCTGTATAATATCATGACTTAAATGTTGCTTTATCATTTCACACGGAAATACAATAAAAGTGTGTTCACAAACGTTTTTTATCTGGTAATTATTGAAACTACGAATTTCGGGACGCGTTTGATTGACACATCCTTGCACTTTCACAAAGTAGAATTTATTCTTAATACTTACGAAGAGTAGAAATTTTGTTGTGTATTAGTGAAAAATATTAAAACTATAATCTAGAAAATTCAGAGTAGAAATGAGAGAAAGCAAAACCAATTCCCCAGTATTGTCTGTTCATGCTCAGTGATGTGTGCAGAGTTAAACAAGTTGAACACACCCGGTGAAATGTAAACATTAACAATGACAGAGCTCGTGCCCTGTTTATAAAAGCAGATGTTTGACCTGATATCAAGAAGAATGCCGTTGTCATTGAATTTTAAGAATATTCATGGAATGTTGCAAATGTACTCATATCTTTATCTTTTAGTTTATTAACTGTACCAGTTATTACGATTCCAAATTCTGTGCCTCTGTGGGACGGGATCTGCACATACTCTTTGAAAAGCACGAGGGAAAAACCCCATCAAACTCAAAGTTCAAATTTCTAGTCACTGCTAAAAAGGTTCCTTATTGTAAGACATATCCTAATCTCATAGCAAGAGTTTGGTAATATTTTTGTCGAATTTTGTTAACTCTTACATTTATGGACATGTTATGTAGTTTCGTTTGATGCGATAATTCATCTATTGAATATGCCACCATTTACTTACTTTTTAACAGATCGGGAAGAACATAAGAATAACTTCGGTTTAATTGGTGGTGGTGTTGGTGGATCAATTTTTCAACTGATACTTTGTTTAGCTTGTTGTCGTCGTTTGAGAAGGAAATCTTCAGAAGGACGAGTATTGAGTCGGACACCTACAAATGAAAGTAAGTCTGAGCTTGTTTATATTTTCATTGAAAGAAAATATTCATATCTTCATTTTTTGGGGGGTGGGGGGTGGGGGGGGTGGGGGTGGGGGGTGGGAGTGTATTTCAAAACGTACCAAATTCATTATATGTATTACACTGCAACTTACATTTTCTTGTTTGATATTAAGGTTAATATAATGAATCTATTGCTTAGTTTCAACATATTTTATTGAATAAAGCGATAGAATAGTGGAATTAAGTTGTAAAAAAACTTATTGGTTCCTCTCCTTAAATGTCTCAAATTATGTTATACATACTGACGAAAAAGTTTGTTTTGTTGCTCTGACTTTTTAAGACTAATTTGCAAAGTTTTTAGAATAATTCTAACAAAACTCTCCTTTATTGTAGCTTCAACAGTACATCAAATTTCACATCCACCTACATCGTACCCCAGTCAATCAACAACACATGTTGTCCCATCATATCTGGATTCCCCAAGCTCATCATATCATTCAGCAGGAGATGATATGCAACATCATTTCCAATTTCGCCATCCTGCAGATTTTCATGTGCTAAATAACAAAGACAACAAATCTGCACCCCCACCAAGCTATGATGAAGTTTTCAACAACAAAATTCGTCCTTAAACTTTAATTGTTCAAATGTCCATTCAAAACAACAGAACATGGAATAAAAAATAATAATTTTTTGGGACTAGACGACAATCTCAATATGGTCACATGAGATTTCACTGATGTTAAAAAAGTTAAACTGCTTTTCCAAATTTATTCTTGTTGATTGAACACACAAGTACTCTGAAGTTGATATTAAAAGGATGCGTGAGTTTCTGATTGACAATATGCTTGTAGTAGCATGCATTTGAAACGTCATAAGACACATTTGTTGACGTTTAAATCTAGCTTCTTCGTTTAATTTCTCCATATAGGACTTTAAAAATTCACCGTAGCAATAGAGAAATATTCCCCTTCTCGTTAGAAATGTCAGAGAATATACCTCCCAGTCCAGATATTTGTTGGAAAATAAAACCTCCCCCTTCTTTGTTTCTATTTTCCAACAAAATTTGTCCTTCTATTATCGTCAAAATTGTTCAATTTGCCATCCTTTCTAAATTGTTTACATTAGTAAAATGATAAAGGCAAACTAACACACATAACTGTGTATTTGATACGCAATAGCATGTTGATTGTACACACAAGTACTCCGAAGTTGATATTAAAAAGATGAGTGAGTTTTTGATTGACAGTATCTCTGTAGTTGTTGGAGATCAAGTTTTCTAACAATCTGCGATCCATTTAATGGCGACCCCTAATTAGCAGACCTATTTTTATATTAATATGAAGCAGAATGTATTAAAAAAACCTGATACATGAGAAGAAAAAACTTGTGGCATTTAACTTAACATTTAGGTATATCTACGACGTATTATCAATTAACAACCGTTACTTCTATTTATATGTCGATTCGATAAATCCCAGTGAACTTGAAATAACAGATACCACAGAGTCTGACACATCTGTTTTATATTCAGATTAGCGGAAGAGACGCTAAATAGTGATTTAACAACAAGTATATTTGATAAACGTGATGACTTCAACTTTTCTATCGTCAGCTTCCCTTATTTATATAGCAATGTATCTTTATCACCTGCAAATGGAGTTTATGTCTCCTAGTTGATTTGATACACAAGAGCATGCTTTACGTACGAACAATTTCTTCAACAAAGCAAGCTATTGACAAGCAAGATGATGAAACAAGGATATCAACTGTATCGTTTGTTGTCAACATTTGGCAAGTTCTGAGGTCGACACATTTACCTTGTCAGCAAATACAATCTATCATTAAGTTAAATGCTGATTGACGTTTTTCATACTACTTGTTAGGTCATTATTTACACACTGAATTATCTACTGATTTTCCCGTTTGCCCGATCATGACAATAAGCACACGGCGGGTGTGACCGGTCAACAGGGGAGCTTACTCCTCCATGGTACCTTATCCTACCTCTAATGGTTTTAGAGGTCCGTGTTTGCTCTGCTCCCGATTTGTATTATTTCAATGGATTTTGAGCTTGATTACTGTTTCTTATCTCCATATGCCATTGTACGTACGAACAATTTCTTAAACGAGGCAGGTTATTGACAAATAATATGATGATAACAGGATATCAACGATCTTGTGTAAAGTCAACATTTTGCAAATTTTATGATCGATACAATGACCTTGTTTGCAAACACAATCTGTCGATATGTCAAACTTTTGAAAATAATCACTGTTTGTTAACCTCACATTTCATATTGAAATTAACACAAATACTGATTTTAAAAGCCATCCTCGTTTTCTAATATTGAAGCTTTCATATGGTTGTGTGCATTTGAAACTGATATTGTTTTAAAAGCTAAAACACAAGGTAAACTGTATATTACTTTCCTAGCACTATTTTTAATTAGGGTTTATGAATGATTATTATTGATTATTTATCATCTTCCATAGGAGCCGTCTCCTGTGTAAAAGACTGGTTTGTTGTGTTAAACATTTGCAGTTTACAGAAGATTGTAGTATATTTATGGGTTAAAGATGCCTTTTAATTTAAACATTAATAAATCAACACCATGTTTTGGCCTAGGGCTCCCGGATCAAATGACTAAGATAATCAATCTTCAATGTCATATGCACAAGAAAATTAATCATATGACTAAGATACATGTGTTTTTCAATTCATTAAAAAAAGACATTTGTGATTATCCCTCTGACTTGGTAAAGTAACCTATGTGTTCTTCATCTTATTCCTTTTTTATTTGCTTGATAAAATGTGTTTTATTTGTTGCTTGAAAGCATAAAAGTATAAAATTAAAAAAAAAAAAAAAAAAAAAAAAAAAAAAAAAAAAAAAAAAAAACATAAAAATGATACAAATTTAATATTTCCTATCATTTATTATTCCCTATCAGAAAAATGTTTTGATTGCGTATTTTCAGAAATATTACACGGCAAATTAGAAACAAATTGAATTTCGTTATCTTAGATAGGGTGCTATCCTTTTATAATTTTTTGGTGAGGATGGACTATAATTTAAACATGTATTTTACAGAAGCTACAATAAATTTCTTTTATTCAAAAGACTACATAATATTAAACATATGGATGGAAAATGCTACATGAACTCTGAGGTTAAATATTTTAAATCTCAAAATCTTTCGACCATGAGTCAAAGGGCAAATTCCTTTGACAAGCATATGGCTTCCAATTTTCACGTTAATTCACTCATGTGATGCGACACAAATATAATTTAAAATTTATCATTTTAATATCATTTTTCAGTTCTGTGAAGTATTATCGTAAATTCTTTAGAGAGTGATAATAAACTAGGGGGTTAAAATGACGCCGGAGCTTGGCAAGGGGTAGGGGGGCATCTTTTAGTAATTTCACTTCAAAATTTTGGAACAAGTCGTAGAGAGACAAAATATGTCCTGATAAACTGTTTTTGAATTACACAAATAATCAGAGAGAGAGAGAGAGAGAGAGAGAGAGAGAGAGAGTTAATGTCTATTCGTTGTCCGTGAGTCCTGAATTCCGACAAGCAGATTAAGTTGACACAGTCAAGTCAGGATCTTTTTCTTTTGTATACTAGTATTGTATTGTATTGTAATAAACAGTGCATAAAGTTTTAAGTTCAGATAACAATATAGGAATCAGTCTTTATTTAACTCCGGCTAGGGTATCTAGTCAAGGAAAGTATATTGGGACAGAGTGAAGGGATATTAAAGATGCAACGACGTCGCTGCTCGTATTAAAATTCAATGGCGACAGCGACGGGTAATCATAATCATCTTAATGATAAATCCGCAAACAATCTGTAAGCATAACCTACATAATTTTACTTTTTTTTCTCATAAGTCCATAAACTTTTTTAATTACTTCTCAACAAAGGAAGCAGAAAATAACTTACAGTCAAACATAACAGGTATTTTAACAAAAATAATAAAGAAATAAATATTACAATATATAAGTTATATTAAGAATGAACATTTAGAGTTTTTCAAAGAAAAAAATTAAAGCCTAAAATAACATTGATTTCTTATTTTTTGAATATTTTAGAATAATGTTAATTTATACAATATATAATATATATAGTTTATTTAAAAACTTCTACATGAGAAGAAGAAAACACTTTCTGTCGCCTTCAGCTCGACATTTCGATATATCGACGACGTATTATCAATTAACAATAGTTACTTTCATTCATATGTCGAATCGACATATCCCAGTGAGCTTGAAATAAATGATACCACAGATTCTGACACATCTGTCTCATATTAAGATATTTTACTAGAAAAAGACGTTAATGGTAACCTAACAACAAAGCTTTATGATAAACGTAATGACTTCAACTTTTCAATCGCCAACTTCCCTTACTTATGTAGCAATGTACCCTTATCACCTGTTTAAGGGGTTTATGTCTCTCAGTTGATTCGATACACAAGAGCATGCTCTACGTATGAACAATTTCTTAAACGAGGCAAGCTATTGAAAAACAAGTTGACGAAACAAAGATATCAACAGTCTCGTTTGACGTTATCTTTTCGCAAGTTTTTCGGTCGATACAATGACCTTTTCAGCACATATATACGACCTATCATTGAGTCAAATGCTGACTGACTTTTTTCATACAAACTGTTAGGCCATTATTTACACACTGAATTATCTACGGATTTCTCTGGTTTTGTTTCCCGATCATGATAGGAGCACACGGCGGGTGTGACCTGTCGGCAGGGGATGCTCACTCCTCCATGGTACCTGATCCCACCTCTAGATGTTGAGGTCCGTGGTTGCTCTGCTCCAAATTTGTATCGTTTCATTGGACTTTTGAGATTGAATACTGTTCGCTATCTTCATATTTCATTCACGCAGTACACATAACTTACATAGGAAATTACAATTCAAATCCCGTATCTACGTATATATTTTGAGAAAAAAATAATCATTTAACTCCATTTTCTACCTACTCTTATCCAACAGAAATCCCTGTAACATCACCTTATCTGTCAGTTGCCTGTCTCGGTTTAAAAACTGATCGTACTCGAAGCACGCTCTTGAGTATCGAATAAGTTGGGAGATGTAAACACCATATGCAGGTGGTAACTGAATATTACTTCATAAATAAGGAAAGTTGACGATGGAAAAGCTGCAGTCATCTTGTTTGTCATACAGTTTAGTTTTTAGTTGGCCATTATCGTCTACAGTCAGCAAAAAATCCTAATATGAAACAGATGTGGCAGACAATGTGGTGTCTTTTAAGTTACTGGAATATATCGAATCGACATATGAATGAAAGTAACTATAGTTAATTGATAATACATCGTCGATACATACAAATGTCGAGTTGAAAGCCACAGCAAGTGTTTTCTTGTACATGGGAATTCCAACAGTATGGTCTAAAAAGACTAAATAAATGTTGTTAATTATGAACTCCAGCATTATTTTAATATCTTCTTCCGAGTACCTGTGTGTAGAATCAGATCGGTTTTTTAAGAAAGAATTTTGTTGATGACCAATGACAAGAATTCGAAGAAACTGTTGTCTATGATATAAAAAATTCTAGCTTTTATTTATCATTAGGAATGGATGTATAAAGTGTAGAAAATCGTATAGAGAACCCACTTCTGATTTACACCATTTCTAGAATATGTTGTAGCACAGTACGTCTGAATTTCTTCCTTTCAGCAGTTAAAATTTTTGTAAGGAGCAATTATAAGATCTCTGAAATAGTTGAACGGAAGCATTTCAGACCTATTTTTCCGAGTATACCGAAGAAAGTACATATCTTAGTTGATAACCATGAAATAATAAATTAATACTATTAGGAAGCAAAATGACTATTTTTGACATTTATAGTCCTGTACTCATTTATTTTCAAATAAATATAAGTTAACGACAATACTAATCAAATGAAATATTTCAAAGGTTAAGTTTACAGTTAAGGTTGCAGATGTTTTGAATCAAACCAAGTGAACCTTTAATGTTTCACTTCAGTATAATCATAAAGTTGGTATATGCTGTTTAGTTTGAGGCTTTAAAATAATATGGTCTAAAACTAAAATTTAAAAAAAAAAAGCTTTTTTAGATAAAATCATAACACGTTTGAACCTCTATGATGGTACATGTAGTATCTTGCCCAGGTAAGGATGAATAAAAATTTACTGAATGTGATTGCGTAGTCATCATATTTATTTCTGTTGACGACTACAGGTAACCATATATTTTTCTTCTTATCTCGGGTGTTTACACACAAAGGTACAAGTAAATTAGCTGCAAAGTTTCTTAAATCAATTATTTCTGTGTTTTAAAAACTACTATTTTCCTGATTTTTTTCAGAAGGTATGTAGACAGTTTAGTTGATACTTCTTTATTATCAATATACATAATATTAATATTGTATCCCATGTATAAATGAAAAAGAAAAAAAATATATCGATGGTGTCGCATGTCAAAAGTTGGCCCAGATGTGGTGACCTATCTAAGCAGGAAAATACATACATATATATGTATCTGGGATTTTAAGAAGTTTTCTCCGTGAGGGGCATGACTTACTCTTTCATACCAATTGTTAAGCCATTGTTTTTACATTCATTTAGACTAACAATTATTCCGTTTACTTGTATCAATACAGAGTGCTAGATAGCCGATGCCAGCTCTGGTGTTTCCCAATGGTCCGTGTTATTGCCCTTTCATAAACTGTATTTTACACAGGATTTGTAAGATCAAAAACAATTCGTGTTCTTCACTTTTCTCATTTTTAAAGGAATTGATATTTGTTATGAACTGATAATGATTGATTAGATTCAAGGCATCGATCTGTTGCATTTATCATGGAATGGAATACTTTGCTTTATAATTCTTTGTATCCTTTATTCTTTATTTTTCAATGTACAACATACTTGGTATTTTGACGTGAGGTATTTTCTGAAGAATACATATGTGTAAATGTTATTAGAATTTTTATTTTTCAAACAAGTTTACATAGAATAAGCACAAATCCGTAAACTTTATTTAATTAGCTCTGCTTGATTAATTTGCTCATGAATCAACTTATCAACTTTGCAGATGGTAATAAGATATGCCATGTTTATGTCAGAGAAACTATATGCAAACAAGTGAATTTTTATGCAAGGAAAATACATTTTTTAAAAACAAAAAGGAAAAAAAATACTATCATCCATGTCCAAGTATGAATGAATTATAACATATAGATGTGGTTTGTGATTACAGATGCATATAAACAACTCATAATTTCTTATTAATGCTTAGCGATTTTACAAGATGTAGTGTTCAAAAACCAATAATTTAATCGAAAACATAAAAGAGAAATGGAAAGAAGCCTAATTATACTTCGGGAAAATACATTTTCCTTCAATTTGTATTTTTCTCATATTGTGATTAATAAGTTTTTAGAATTATATAAATTCTGTCCAAAAGTTAAGGTTTTATAATATTATTTATCTAATTATAGCCATGCCAAGAATTTGCTGCAAAAATTATCATATCTAAAGCTTGTTACCTATTTATTAGTTCTTTCTGGATTTCTCTTTCAGCTCATGTAAACGTTTTACATACTTAATTTTTTTTATTGATCAATTCTTTATATCTAACGTGGGGATATGAATTGACCTACATACACTGTACTAAATCTTTACACTTGGAAAAAATGTGGGCGTTATTGTTATATTTATAGCTATCTTTAAAAATTGTTCAAATATCGATTGCAAGAAGATATTGATTTAAATCTTGTCTAAGAACACGGTGAAATGGTATTTTTGGGCTTGATCTCATATTTCCTTTTAATTAAAAACAATCAAATTAATTTTGCATGTAGAAATATTTCAAATTTACTTTAAGGGAGAATATCGAGCAACTTCTGAATGCCTAAATTTCCTGGTATTCTCAATCAAAATTATTTTTAAATCATCTCACTCACTCAGATAATCTGTTGCCATCTGTTTATTTCTCTCCTTGCGTTATATGCGTCGTCAGTAACTTTTGAATATTTTCAGCTTCTTCTCAAAAGCCTTTTTTATGTATATTTTTTCTCTACACGGAGAAATCCAGGACAGTTTTTAAAACGACGTCGAGATAGATATGTATAATTTTCCTGGATCATCTACTCTATATTTGTCAATGTTGGTTTTATTATATCAAAGGGTACATTTAAATGAAAACATGGCAAATCAGAGGTTTGGTAATTTCTGTTTATAAGCAATTAAATGTAAAGCAGCAAAATTAATTTTTAGTACTTATGTGCATTAGAAAAAAATATGCTATAAATTATATTCACTTTTAACAGATCTGACAGGATGAAGCTAGCAAGATTGGCGGTTGGGTGTGGATTTATTGTAATTGTTATTTTATCGAAAGTTGTTACAACGGAAACTATGTCTTGTAAGTTAATTTCCATTAAATCGGTAAAATGCATTTTTTTTTATTAAAGAAATATAATAAGCTAAAGGTTACTATGTACAGGCCCTTAGGAAGCAATTTTAGTTTGGTGGGGGGGGGGGGGGGGACAGCCATACATTTTTCAGTTGACAGTTGAAGGGGCACTACCCAAAATGACAAGCAAAAAAAAAGGTCATCAGCTTCCAAATATTCCTTGACAAGCAAAAAAAAAAAAAAATAAATAAAATAAATAATAAAAAAATAAATAAAAAAAAAAGGTCATTAGACGTTTTTATTGAGGGCCACATCTATGTTTACTATAGCAATCTATATCGGCAAAATTAGCCCCCCACGTGACCCCCCCTCCCCGGTTCCTACGGCCATGACGTAACTATCTTCTACTAACTTGCTTATTCTTGATAATATTCCGTAGTTCTCTATGTCTCAGTCATTATGTTTGATTTAAGAGATGAATCTTATAATTTATTCTTTTGTACTTTTGTACCAAGTTCATTTTCATGTTACAAAAATAAAATATCTCTATTTCCTAATAGGAACTTGTATAATTTACAGTGTACAATATGTACTATGTAGAGCATTTTTATTAGTATTATATTTTTTCTTTAGAAAATAGAAAAAAAATTAAAGAACAATAACTCTTGGTGATGGACACAATTTTACAAGCATATATTGATTGACAACACGATATTCTTACTTACGTTCTTAAGTTTTTAAATATCAACCTAATATGTATGACACTAAATATTATTTCTAAGTATACCTCATATTTTTTTAATTTATGTTACGATAATAAGTTTATACTCTTTCTATCTACTGTGTCAATTGGAAATGTGTAAATTTTTTTTAATCAAATTTAGAACAGAGGGATATTAGGCCTTAACATCTGTCTAATGAATTATTCCTTTCTTTCTCGTAACTTCGTTACTTTCGTAATGCAGACGACTTGATTTCGTAGCAAAGTAGGGCAATTCAAAAAGAAAGGAAGGTAGAAAAAACCCAGGAACGTATCGCTGATCTCCAGGGAGGAAAAGCGTAAAAAAAAAAGAAAAAAAGATTTCATTCTTCTTGTACACAGTGCTCTAGAAGGGGAAATATGCAAACTTCAGGGCAGTCATTATGCACATCAAAAGCATATCCTCGGCTGATTTGTCTACAATAGACAGGCTTATTCATTTTGTATTCCGTAAATCTGTAGCCGGCTAAGAAACATTTAAAATGGTAGTTTAGAAATCATATTTCTATTTAAAGAAGTATTTTTTTTTACATTTACAGTTTGCAAAACTACGTTTAAGGTTATATACCATCGAATTTCTTTTTAGTAGAGACCTTAATATACACGTACAGTGCATTCTGTAGATGTGGTATCAGTTTTGATATCAAATGTACATTTATGAAAAGAAATTAACTACAACTTAAAAAATAACGGTTTCATTTAATTATTTACAGATGAATTTGGAGATACTTGCTCTGTTTTCTTAAAAGAATTGGATGAAAGTCGCCAATTTTATGTTGAATACCATGGGAAACGTGTTAGTACCTTGTGCGATGACTTCTCATTCGAGGGAAGAGGAGATGAAATCATGGATGAGTACAAAGTTTGTGTTACACCTCAATATTTCAACGATCCAGATTGTGCCATAGAGTTAGTGTATACCTCTTCCGTTTTTGGAAAACCGCTACAGGTTCGCATATCGTCATTTCATGCAAGGACAGTTAACGTGTTTTTTTTTTCCATTTTTCTTTGCTTTTTTTTATTTAATACAATTTTGTTACTCTGTAAATATCTGAGAAGATCTATTGAGGTAAAAGGCTTCAAAATATAACAAAGCTATAACTTTACGCTGAAAACACTACAATAAATTCTTAGAATTCAAAAATTCAATTCAAAAATTTCTTTTCTAAAATTTCGTGAATGTACTGAGTAGTTAAGAAATTAGATACAGTTATCATTTAATAAATTTTATAGAAACATAATCTTGAATGGATTTTTTTTTCAGAGTGTAACGTGTTCAAAAAACATTCACACTAAATTTTGTGGTAAAAAGGAGGACTATCTTTATATCAATTTCAAGAAACGCGATGATAAGTCAACATCAAGTGCTAGTTTCAAACTACTTGTCACCGCTGAAAAAGTTTTTGATTGTAAGTGTTTTCCCATTCAAAATAAAAGAATATTTGAGCTTCGGTTGTCTTTCCTTAGTACCGTATTGCTCCTCCCTTAAATTGTCTGCCTGTCCTGAAAATCGTAGTACTGTTTAAAGACATAATATGCAAATATTAAATCAACAGTCATTAGCTGTATACATGTAATTTGATATATTTTTTTTTTTTACAACATGCAGATGGAACTTTCGTTGGAGCTATTGTTGGAGGTGTGATCGGCGGTATAATTTTAATTACAATACTAACAGGTATATTTTGTTGGTGTGTGTGCAGACGGAAACCTAATCAAGGTCAAGTACTAGGAACGACTCAGAATACCTCAGGTACATCTATGTTTAATTTATAATAATTTTATTTATTCTGAGAGTAATATTAAATTCAGGTTTTTTTTTTATCAATACTAATATGTATATTTCATTTTCTAAGTATACGGTGTACTATATTATTAACTTCTGTCTTCCTTACTGTAATAAAAATATGAATATAATTATTCTGTTCAAGAACAATCTTTAGAAGTTCCAGCTAGTGTATTTGATTCATAAGAATTTTTTTCTAATTTTTTTTTTTTGAGATACTGCTTTCGTGAATATTGAACTATATTCTTTTAAAAAAAAACATTAGCCTATTTTATTAGTTGTATCAATTTTCTTCAAAGGTCAAACAACAAACCAACCAGGTATTCCATATGCTACATATTCAACACAGCAGTCAAACAACACAACCACATTGTATCCGACAGGAAATTACTCAACGCAATATTCTGCAGGATACAGTGCACAACAGCCGTTTCAATACTCACAGACAATTGGTTCACAACAGTAGAACGTTGATAGTTTCTCGGCTTTGTAAACCAAAGATCTGGAAGGATAGTTGATTTTAGTTCACCTGAGCTGAGAGTTCAAATGATGATTTCTGATCAAAATTTGTTCGTTGTCTGTTGTTTCCGACGTCGTCGTTGTTGTCATAAACCTTTTATGATTTCATCTTCTTCCCCATACCACTAAAGGCAATCAAAGTTTCACGTAGGAAATCAAAAGAAAAATCTTTTTTTTTTCAAGAACAGCAAAGTCATGAGCATTCATATTTATATGGAATCATCTTCAAGTAGTGTAGCTTCAAAATTGTTCAAATCATGAGCCCTTGGGAAAAGGTGTTTTTCCATTGGGCGACTAATATTTTAAATAGGAAAACAGGAAAAATATTCTTAATAACATCAAAGACACGATTAGCTATGATTATATACATTTAGATGGAAGTATCCTCAGTCACCATAGAGTTTCAATTTTATTTTTTCAAAATATGACTCTGAGAATAAGGATAGGGGTACAAGGGTTTTACATAGGAATTTATCGGGAAAAGAACAAGAAGGATCATGATTAATCAGGTGAACGTTTTGGCCTATAGGCCTCTTGTCTTTCTGTCGTTAAAACAATTTTTTTTTGTAATCAATTTATCACTAAAATTATTGAAACTTTTACTTTTTTCCTCCTTTTTCTGCTTTTATGATCAATAATGTAGAAGCAAATCTAAGTTTCATTTCTCCTGCTTTGTAACCGTATGATATGTGATGTATGTAATAAAGAGAGATCTTTTGTTATCTTTGTTACAGTTTACATGATGAATTAAGAAACAATATCAATTTGGCTTGGTTTAAATAAATAAAAGTCAAATTTTGGCAAAAATCGAAGTACAATTACAAGGTTGTATAAAGAAAACTCCTAAAATGATGGTGGACAAACCGACTGGTTCAGGATAACAACAGGAGTGTAGCAGGGTTGCGAAATATATGGACTTTTTTGTAAAGAAGAGATCCAACAGGTATAAGGTGTAAATTAACCAAGAAACTATAAGATCTAGACTTCGTAAAGACACAAAACGTTCCTGAAATTGTAGGTCGGATACGCCTCGGGATAAATATTAAAAAAACCGAAGTAAAGAATCTCAAGTCGGACATTAGGGAACCTGTTTAGATCAAAGGACAAGACACGGGGAAGCTCTTTTCAGATAGTCCAGAAAAATCTGTGGCTCTTCAATATGTCTCATTCAAACTACAGTACCAACCAAACCCAACCTGACAGAAAGAGGTTTCAAAGCAGTCACACAGCGGTCCCAGGGCAGTTCCACAGCATGCAGTCTCAGAGCAGTCCCATAGAGGTTCTAGAGCAGCCTCACAGCGGTTCAAGCAGTCCCAGAAAGCAGTCCCAGTAAGTGGGGTAGTAAATTTAATGGGCGGGGCTTAGTCCTTACTGATATTGCACAGTGTATCTACAATGTCAGTATAATAAAGGCAGTTGAAATTAATGATGCACTTGGGGGGGGGGGGGGGGGAGAAAAGTGTATATACAATACATACATGTATACATGGGGCACATACCGCATATTCACAAAAAATGCAGTGTATAAACAAAGAAAAATAACAAGGAAAGAGACTTTCACACTAAATAATTACATGTAGTATATCAACACCAAATTAAACAAATTTGTTTATTAACTGTGATACATTGATATTGGTTACCGTATAATTTCATAGAAAATTATCATGTGCTAAATAAATTGAATGGCTATTTTTTAGGCCAGAATTTAATGACTAAAAAATACATCTTACGATTATAGAGAAAGACTGATTCCCATATTACTCTGTATAAGGTTTTCATTGATCTTAAATCTTGCAAAAAATATATCAAGAATCTGTTTACAGTTAATGCTTTAAAAACTTTGGCTTATTAGTATATTGTGGTTATTATTTTCGATGACTTGCCGATTTAATTATCCTTAGAATTTTTTTGCAGCGTAAACGATTTCACTATAATATTTCCTGAGCGTTTACATGTACGTGTAAATCACGCAGAGCAGTCCCATATTTTGAGAAAGCAGTCTTTAGGGACTGCTTTCTGGGACTGCTTGGGTGTCAGATTGGGTCTGATTGGTGCTGTAGGTGAAACTGTTCTATAAGTAGTCTTATGTATAGAGGAGAAACATTGAGGACAAAATGTAGCTTGATACCTCCAGGATAGATAATTGAGCCAACTTCTGAGAAGATGTTAAAATAAGATGTCAATATAAAATATCAAACAAAGAACTACATCACAGAACAGGAACAAAAAGACCCAGTGAAATGATAATTAACAGCCAGGGAGTGGAAATGGAATCGGAACATCAGAATTTACACTAATGGTTTAACTTTGCACCAAGAAGGGAGGAGAAAAGTTAGTCAATTAAAAATATGGAGGGTGACTACCGAGCATGAATAGTTACAGCAGGGGTAGCGTAGATGGGCGTCAGCCGGGGAAGACGGAGGTATAGGTGAGGCGGTCATTCAGTAGAAACAATGCTTTATGAGTTACGAATCTGAGGGTTTTATAAATTAATCAAATGTAGAAATAATAATTATATATTTATTTATATTCTGATTGTTGCTATATATGGCAGGCTACACATGGATTCTTTAGAATTTAATGCTAAAGATTATTAATATTCTCTCCCTACAGTCATTGGTCACTTATAGTTAATTATTTATTGTGCACATTTCGATGGCTATTTTTTTTCTTTTTTGTGCAGTGACTAAGAAATAGAGAATTCCATTCAAGGACTCACTCGAATAATATTTGAGTTAAAGAGAAACAAGAGGAGATTCGTTAATTAGATTGTTATTATCGTTATCGGATATTTCTGTTTGTATCTGTACAGCTAACCATACATTTTGGTTTCTTTGTGTGCATTTCACAATAACAAAAATCTGCAAGGTAAGTTAGTTCCTACATTAATTAAACTCATTTATACACATAAGTGTTTTTTTTTTAAAGTTACACTGTATATTTACATTTTATATAATAAGTAGATATCATCTTTAGCAGCCTTTCATAAATCTACATTAATACAACATTCAGTCGTTCAACAAGTATGGAAGTCCAAAAGTGCATCCCGAATTACTGAAATAAACTTACATTCGATTTCTTCTCATAGAGTAATTTTTGTGAATTTTATTTACAGGGTATCAGGAAGGTGAATATTTTGCCATGAGAACAACATTAGAATGTGGAATTATTGTATTTTTGAATTTTGCCGTTTTTGCAGATTCTGAAGAAAAAGACAGTATAACATGTGGGTTTTGTCCATTAATTTACGTTTTTTTCCCTAAAATACTTAATGCATTTATTTTAATTCAAATGATGCATTTGATTTTATGGCCTGCTCCTGTATTTTTTTCTGGAAAAAAAAAGTTATTTTAATTTTTTAACTAACAGATCATTGTTTCTCTGTTTCTTGCGAAGATTCTATTGCCTTGTATGAAGTGGGGAGTGGAGTGATTTTGATCATATTTTTTCTTTGTTTGGTTATTATTTTTAAAAGATGAGAAGACAAAGTTAAGGTTCTTAGACCTCAGATAAGAAAGATAACTATTTACTATCAACTCTTTCGAATTTTGCCACGCATTGTATCCTGAAATTATGGGGGTTTTTTAAAAGTAAAAATTAGTTTTTTTCTGAAAAATTATATATGGATATATATTTTACTATTATTATTAATTACCAATTACTATGGATATTAAGAGTAACGTACGCCAAATTTAGTATGTATGTGAATTTAATAATGAATCTAAAGAAATGGATTTGTAGCTATGTATACGTACGTGTATCATATGTTGTGGATATTAAGAGAAATGTATAACAAATTTAGTATGTATGTGAATTTTACAGACGAATTTGGAAAAGATTGTCCCGTTTTCCTAAGAAAATTAGACGAAAACCTTCAAATTTACGTTCAATACAAAGGGAAATTTGTTCATTGGATGTGCAAATACTTTTCATTTGAAGGAATAGGAATTGAAAGTTTGGACGAATATATAATCTGCGTCAGACCTCAATACTTCAATGATCCGGACTGCGCTGTAACATTGGAGTATAAATCTACTTTCGATGGTGCTACATTAGCGGTAGGTCTCACCTCATTTAAACATGCACAGTCAAAAATTGAACATAAAAAGTAACCATGTTTATAATAGATACATGTATTTGGTTGTCTAAACCCAGATTAGCTGTTATTGTACTTAGTTACGAAATATGTAAAGACACCAGTATATTGACTAAGGATAAAGAAAATTATTCCATATGCATATTTCAAGTTCTTGATAACATTTTTTTTTCAAAAATACCTCTTGAAAATTAAGAGATTAGTCACTTAAAAGCACTTAATTCATTATTTAATTTGACATAAAAATGAAATTACATATACACTATAGAATGTAACAATTTATATACTTTGTTTTTTAAGGATTTTATTTAAAGGATGCCCTCATTATTTTGTAGAATGTGACCTGTTCGAATAATTTCGAAAGAAAATTCTGTGGTGATCGAGATGAATTTCTTTATATATATTTAGAAACACGTGACGAAAAACCAACATCAAACACCAGCTTTAAGCTACTTGTTACAGCTGAAAGGGTATTCAATTGTATGTATTTTTCATTGTTAATTACACATGGAACGAGTAATTTATTATCGGATTGGATTGTTTAAACTTACCTTTACTAGTATTTGCTTCGTCAGTCAAAAGTTAAGATCATATAACATCATTATCATAGATGGAAGTTTTGCCTTGCCCATTCTTGGTGGTGTAATTGGAGGAATCGTTTTAATAGGTGTTCTTACTGCTGTCATCTGTCGAAGGGGGTGTAGGCGGAAAACGACCCAGAGTCAAATACTACGAGCTGTTCAGGGTACCTCAGGTAAGCAAAGGATATAAAACATACGAAAGACTTTTATAATTGAAAATAATAGAGAAAATTGTTTCAAGAAATTCAAAACAGTTTGATTTGTTTTTCATGTCCTTGTCATATAACATACGGTATTGATATATATTTATTCATGTCAAAGGTTCAACAGTCAACCAATGTGTAGAATACAATATTGCGACGTCTACTGAACAATCAGAGTACAGCACTTCACAAAACTACAACCTAAGAGACTTAACGAAGAATGCCAGCACTTGTAATAGTTTTGCGTCCTCAAAGACAGATTGTTTGCAACAAGCAGAAACTAGTTCATTGTCCCCTCCTCCAACCTATGACGAAGTGATTAATAGCTCAGTTAACTCATATTCAGTTCACTCATATTTTGGTGATTGATTTATCACCGTGTAGGCGACATTGGCTACCCAAGGGATAATAAAAAAATGTTTGTGTACATATATTGAATTAAACCTAAGGAATGAATTGTTTTATTACTGAAGCTGTCCTAGGAAATTAGACTTGTTTTTTCCCTTATCATCATTTTGTTTAAATTTTGATTTCCAAAAAAAGTCAATTTTGGAATTTATTTCAGTCTTGGGAAGTGAACAGAATTTCAGAATGAACTTTGGTAGAAATTCGCTCCGTGGTCGGAAGGTCGTGTGTTCGAATCAGGCCAGCGATTGACCCAGGTCGATAAATAGGTAGCAACTGCTCCTTCGCCAAGCGTTCGGCACTTTGAAGTAAAACTTGTGGGTCCTTAGGATGAGACCTTAAAAACCGAGGTCCCGTGTCACGGTAGGTGCTGGCACGACAAAGAACCCTCACTGCTCAATGGCCCTAAGTGCTGATTAAAGGTCTAAATTTGAAACCATTCACCAGTATATGGTGACGTCTAGCTCTATATGAGTGAAAAAAATCTCGAACAAGACGTAAAACAACATAAAAACAAAAAGACAATATATTTAAAGTAATGTATTTAAATGCATAACTATTACATTTAGCGTACCCCCAAGACTGCATTGTAATTGCTTGAAAACTGAAACCATTTTCTGTGAACAAATTGTATTGCTTACATGTTGCGCCTCACCATGAATCCATACGTACTGATATTGATCTTTCCGAGAAATTGAGTTTCTGGAAATATTCCAAGCAAAAAAGATGGCATTGACAGACCTACAGATGTAGTGTTCTGGCGAGAGGATGCACCTCTATTAGATTGTTTTTAAGCTGCGGCATTTTCTTTGAAGGTTTCAGGACAAGTGATGGTTTCACAAATATTCTCAAGATGGAGGAATGTGCCCAACAGGGTGCAGCTAGGAGGGCTGCAGCTTTGTCCATCAGGATTTTTGACATACCCAGTGGATAATGCATAATGGAAGAAAAGCTTACAACGTGCAAAGACGGATTAGTCCACTTGCTGTGGCCTTCAACTCGACATATCGATATATCGACGACTTATTATCAATTAACAATTATAGGTACTTCCATTCATATGTCGACTCGATATATCCCAGTGAGCTTGAAATAAAAGATAGCACAGAGTCTAACACATCTGTTTTATATTTAGTTTTTTTTTTTTTTTTTTTTTTTTTTTTTTTTTTTTTTTTTTTTTTTGCTAGAAAAAGACGTTAATGGCAACGTTAAAACAAAGCTTTATGATAAACGCGATGACTTCAACTTTTCAATCGTCCATTTCCCTTACTCATGTAGCAATATACCCTTATCACCTGCATATGGGGTTTATGTCTCTCAGTTGATTCCATACGCAAGGGCATGCTCTACGTATGAGCAAGTTCTTAAACGAGGCAAGCTATTGACAAACAAGTTGATGAAACAGGGATATCAACAGTCTCGTTTGAAGTCATCATTTGGCAAGTTTTATGGTCGATACAATGACCTTGTCAGCACATACAACCTATCATTGAGTCAAATGCTGACTGACGTTTTTCATACTAATTGATAGTCCATTATTGAAACACTGAACTGTCTACAGATTTTTCCGTTTTTTTTTTTTTTTTTTTTTTTTTTTTTTTTTTTTTTTGGGATCATGACAAGGAGCACAAGGTGAACGGTAAGCAGGGAATGCTCACTCTTCCATGGCACCTGATCCAACCTTGAATTTTGAGGTCCGTGTTTGCTCTGCTCGAAATTTGTATTGTTTCATTGGACTTTTGAGATTGAATACTGTTCGTTATCTTCGTTAATTAAATAATCCAAGAGATGCCCCAGGCACATTTCCCCAACCACAAAAAATTTAATTGCGTTTTAAGTCAAGGCGCGATTTTGAAATAAAACCAAGTTATACATGTATGTCATATAAGTTATACGTTTAGTTTTAGAAGGGTTTTTTTTAATAAACATTCACTCTCGTCTCAAACCTCAGTGAGACCTTTTTTTCTATCAATCACTACACTTTAAGCACTTGGTAAGTGAGCAGCTGCTAACCACATGTATTTGTCTTTGCATAAAAGTCGATATCTAGCAAACTTGACATTTATATGCATTGACTTTGTAATACCCATACTGTCAACGTAAGAAATTATAACATGAAATTTTCACACGTTTATTGTACAGGGTGTTTCATAATAACTGGTCCCTAATAGAAGCTGGTATAAAATAACAACAGACTGATTTAGTAAGAATGTTGTAATAAATTCAGAAAATTCAAGTCAATACTTCTTCTTTTTGAGGGGGGGGGGTGTTCCGGTAATTACATTCAAAGCTTCTCTTTCACCATTGTTTTAATTTTCTTTAAAAAGTAGTTTATTTTACAGGATGTTTTCAAGATGATGTTCTCTTTTTGACAAAACAAGCTTTACACAATGTCTGAAATGTGGCATAAATGACAAGATCGAGTTATTCCTCTCATTCCATGCTTGATGGCCAATTAAAGATCGGTCAATGTTTATGGAGCAGGTTGGTTCACATGATTCTTCAGGTAACCCCAAAGGAAAAAATCAAAGGGGTTCAAATCTGGAGAATGACGAGGCCACTCATTGTTTGTTTTGAAAGAGATAAAATGGTTGCCGAATGTTTCTTCTAACCAGTTAATCACTTGTAAGGCAGTGTGAGGATAGCACCATCTTGTTGAAACCACACATCATTGACATAAAAGCCTTTTAAAGCAAAATTCTGAACAAACTTTCTGCTGAGTAAATTAAGGTATAGGTCACTATTGACAGTCTGAACGTCACCATTTATGTCCTCAAAGAAATACGGACCTATGAGACCAGAGGCACTGAGAGCTCCCAGACTATAAATTTCTCCCCATCCATTGGTTTCTCAATGCAAAATTAAGCTTTTCTATTCCCCAGAAGTACCAAATCCTCTTATTCACGGCAGCGAGTTTCCTCTGAAAACCAAAGTCTGTCAACAATATCTGAGTGTTCCTGTATCCATCTTCCGAACTGAAGTCTGCTTGCGATGTCCGTTTGTTTAAAATGCTGCATGATAGATACCGTATTAAAATTAGGTGTTAATTTTATATCAAAATGAAGCATTCCGTTGATACTGGTTTTAATTTGCTGACGCTGTGGTTTAACTAGTCGGTCACTTTCCGCACTGACATTTGAGGAGTTTCTTCAATCGCCTTTTTAACTTCTTCAATAGAGTGCATAGGTTTCCTTGCAGATTATGGTCTTCCGGTGTTCCTTTTTTTTCTTCCATCCTCTGTGGACCCTGTGCTCCCAAATCTCTCTAATAGACATTGAATCTGTTTCTTATTTTTTCGTGGTGTGGATACCTTTTTTGCATTATTCTTATGACAGTTACTGGTGAATGATTTTCAACACTTTGTTCTTTGGACAGAGACATTCTAAAATGTCATTGTAGTATTATGATTTCATTGTGTTAAAAATAGTTCCTGACTTTCTTTAAATGTAAAACATTCTTTTTTAAATAAATTTTTTAGTTTTTAAAACACATGTATGTAAAAAATTAGAGATCTTACAGGTAATTGTAATTGGGACAGATATTATGAAATACCCTGAACAAATGATTATAAAAAAAAAAAAACTTTGTATTCGTATTAAAACTAGCCCTGCATATAATTCGAAATAATTTATGTTAGCTATGTTCTGTTTTGCATGATGGCCCTGACACTACGTTTTATTTGTATTTGACAAAAAATCATGAAGTGTCCTATTTTTACATGTTTTTCCACATCTGCTCTTCCGCCATATTTCAAAGTATATCGAATAAATTTTGACTTGTTTTCAAAGAAAATCTAATTAAACATTAAAATTTCTTAGGATGAAATTATTAAATTCAATTAACTGAAAGGTGACTGAAACTTTACAGAAAGGTACTTCATATCATTACGCTACTGAAGAAAAGCAACGGAAAATCACGATTAATGAAGCTTAATCTATTCGAAGCGGTCACCATTTTCGTAATGATAAATCTTCGTAGATGCCAATATATTCATATAACTCAAGAATTCCAAATCTAGAGCTGTAGGCAGATATCTAGCAAGGGAGTGTGGGGAGAGTCTAGGAGGGTTACTGCTCCTCGTTAACATGGGAATATGTAGGGAAAATCTTTAAAAATCGTCTTTTAAAAGCTAATTGTCATATGACTCACCTTCGGTCTTATTTCGGTCCGGACCATTTTTTTTTATACGAGTCGGACCTTTTCTTCTAAAATGCTGACCTTATATGTTATAAGCCTAGGGTATATAACCTTTACATATATATCCTATATAAATCTATATATCCTGTTGATTTAGGAATGACTCTAATTCTTGGCCAAATTATTCGAGTATAACCTGGTTTGGGTCAGTTACGCTTTATAATCCACGAAGCGGATTATAAAACAGCGTAAGCTGACCCAAACCAGGTTATACTCGAATAATTTGGCCAAGAATTAGAGTCATTCCTTATAATTTAATCTTAAAATCATTAAATAACTATGGGTGTAAATTTTCGTTGCTTTTTATTAGTTCAAATTTGCCGCTCAATAATACAACCGTAGTAACGGAATTAACGGAAGTGATGGGAAGCGAGGGGAGGTAAAAAATGATACATAGGCCTAGCAGCCTTGTTGTTTGTTTACATGTGGTAAGATCGAATTATTGTTTGAAGTTAAAGATACATTTATCAAATCTGGTATTATCCATGAATCCCGAGGACTGGAAATGAGAGGACTGTATGGATACAGATGATTCAGCTGGTTGTGAGGGGGGTGTATCCCCATACCAAACCAGGTTACACAGAAATAATTTGTGTTCCTTTTTGGATATTAACCAATTAGAGGCTAGAATACAAACGAAATTAAATTATTTGATAATATTGATGCTAATGTATAAACGTTTACTCATATCAGAGACTTTACATGTATTTATGTCTCTGCTATTTCTTTTCTGACTGCCTCTTTACAAAAGAAAATGTTATCGTTGTATTTTCACGTTTTATTGCATGCATGGCCACCCGTACTTTGCATCAACGTAACTGGTGCTTATAAATTATTGCGTTTGTTTACATTTCGAAATAAGGTGGAAGGTAAGTTATGTGATCATTTCTTTTTACCCTAATAATCGGCGTCCTTTTTATTACGTTCTTATCACGTCGAATCTATTAAAAGAATATTCACAATATTCAGAATTTCAATAAAATCACAAGACGAAAATTTTAACAAAAGGTCGATCTCAAACACCCGGAAATGTACTTTACGAACCACCGGTCGCCGAGTATATACATGGATTTTCTGTGTTTAGTTTCCATAAGATATGATGACATTTCGCACGAGTGTAATATTTATTATAATATATTATACAATACACCGTACATATGACTGTCAGTGCTGGGATTTCTAAGTAAGGAATTCCAGACTAATCACATTTCCATGAAAAAAAGAGAGTTTTATTTTCTTTCTAGAAAACATTTATTATTTAGTACCCTTAACGTTTCACATTTTCTATTCACTTTAATTTTAATAGTCTTTGTTATTTAACTTAAGGATAAGGACTATGTTTCTAAAATCATTCAACGTATGAAAACATACTGCATATACATGTATCAGAATATTTCATGCATGAGAAGCATCAAACAGGATAGTAGTTAGAGTCAGTTACGTGAGTATACTATAAGTATGTATTTACCTGTAGATATGAGTCCTAGGTCGGAATTGATCCAGCAAAATTAATTTCTTTCAGGAAGACGTGCCGGTGGTTATCATTTCGTTGAGAAAATGTTAATCGGATGTACGATTTTCTTTGTGTCGTACTTCACTAGTCAATTAGCAGAAGGAATAGAGACTCAAGAATGTAAGTTTTCTCTGTACAGTTATATTTCCGTATCTCTTTCATTGATATCTTAAAATACCATGGCTATGCCAAAGTGAGATGGAAGTCCCAATTAATTTTACTTTCATGTACATGTATTCTAACCTATAGATTATATGCATGAATCTTTAGATATCTTAAAGTATTTTTCTCGGTCCCATCCAGTTCCCTCATGAAACAGTCCGGGGGCTTAGACAAAGGCACAGATTCAGCTTCCAAAAACCTGTGACTGCAGTAAACCTGCTTCTGTGTAAACCGGGCGATAAAAAAAATTGTCTAGGCACGGACAAGGCATGCCAGAAAGCCGTGCTAGTTTCCTTGTGTCATTCTCCGTATATGGAGACAAGGATTTGGGAAACCCGTGTCAAATGGCTATGTGACATACTAAGGGATGTTAAGAAAGTTTGTTTCATAATTAATAAAATATTTTTGAAAATTCCAAAGTAGTGTTAAACTGAAGAGATAAATTTTACAGTCTGACAAAATCCATAAGGAAAATATATAAAAACATCTTTAAAACATCCAAATGACAGAACTGCTGGTGATTTTGTATGAAAATTTTGGATAATTTACTATTGTTTCTTCATAGCCTATCTTGCATCATACAAAACTGATGAACTTAGATAAAAGAAAGATTAGTCACTTTTTAAAAGAATGGGTTTGTCATATTGGAATTCCATACTGACTTCATAAATTTTGCATAGGCATTTGAAAGGATATTATGACCTGTGTGCTTAAGATATTTCACAAATATGCTGCATCCCTGAGATTTCTGCACAGACATCATCTGTTTCAATACCTCCCCCCCCCCCTTTCGTTTCAACAAAACACAGCTAAAGCCTAATCAGTAGCAAGAATGGACTCTGTGAACATATTAAACATCTTCTCATTGTATGAAAGGGTTTTTTTTTTTTTTTTGCTTTAATTTTTTATAGCTACATTTTTATTGTTGATTTAAAACTATTATTTTTGTTTTCATTTTGCCCTACTGAAGTATATTTCTCCTGTCTTGCAATAAAAATATTTTTTCGCACATTTTGAAAGATGTTAATAAATAGAACTTAAATTTTATGAACAATGACAGTTTACAATAACATTTTACACAAGTTAAAAGACCTTTAACGTCTTCACATCGAAACAATGTAATTAACAATTATTTTTGTTTTAAAAAGATAATTTTGGAGAGGACTGCTCCACTTTGCAAGAAGTTAACGAGGATCGCCAAATACACCTTGATTACGAAGGGCAAAGAGTTAGATCGTGTTATTACATGTCCTTTGAGGGACAAGGAGAGGACATCAGTGATGAATATCAAGTCTGTGTTACACCAAAGTGGTTCCGTGACCCAGACTGCAGTGTTGAAATAATTTTTAGGTCTGGTTATATGGGCAAAAAATTAAAGGTACATGCATATATAATACTTAGTTTTGCTATTATATTTAGTTTACTTCCGCTCTTTTGGGTCAAAGTCAAGAAAGCACTAATCTTGCAAAATTTTCGGTGCATGCATTTAGCATTAAGCTAGTGGTAATCTTATGATTCGAACAATCAGTCTTCACATTTTAGAGAAATTATTATTAGAGAGATTTAGAGATATTAAGCTATTTGAAAAGTGCTGCGATCCTGGTGAAATCTTAAAAATGAATTAATTATTTCTATGTTTAATGCAGTAACGAGTTGACCAGTAAAAAAAAAAATCAGCATGCATCCATACAAATATAATTTTAACAAAGAAATATTATAATCTGTTTAGGATCGCAGCACTTTTCACAAACTACATGTATAATAGGTGTTGAAATATTAATAAACTTAAGTTTTAAATTTAACTTTGCAATGCCCTTACACTAGTGAAATTCATCAGTGACCTCAATAATGCAAGTATATATGCTAAAATCACGTGACTGCCACATCACGTGACAAGTCTCAATAGAAAATCTAATCGTCATCAATATGTAGTTCATAACCATAAATACATGTGTCCGGTATTAGTAAAGTACTAAAAAGAATCGCTATCCTGATTAAGTATGTATTTTTATCACAAAAAAATGACCGATATTCCCATTAGGCACCTTAACTCTACTGCGAAGGGGGGGGGGGGGGGGGGTCAAAAGGACTGAAATTCGTATATTCAAATATATAGGAAGAATCTTGAAAACCTTTTGAAAAGAAATTCTCATGAATCACAGTACCAGAAAAGATAAAGCTTGGTTGGAGCTTCCTTAGGAAGTGTAAATTCTTTGGATTGTTCGAATGTCCCCCGCGAGTAAAATTGGACTACAATAGGGGATGAAAGATGGACATTGAAATATATAAGAAAAATCTTTAAAAATCTTCTAATATAAAGAACAGCTTGACTAGAAAAGATGAAACTTATCTTAAAGCTTCCTGATATATTGCATTTCAAAGTTGTTCAAATCATGACCCCAGGGGTTAGGGTGGGCCACAATAGGGCATAAGTTTTACATTGAATATTTCAGAAAAATCTATAAAAATCTTCTTCTCAAGAACCACTTGACGAGGAAAAAAACTTATACGTGAAAGTTTCTTGTGTAGATTCAAGAATCCCAAGGGTAGGATGGGACAAAATAAGAGATCAGAAATTTACATTGAAATATATAAGACAATTTTCTCAAGAACCACTCGACCAGAAAAGAGGAAATTTATGTGAAGGCTTTTTACATATAGTGTAGATTCCAAACTGTTCAATGTGTAGCCCACTGCGCCACGTGGGCGACAGCAATTAAAGACTGATGAAATTTTGGTAACTGAGGAGATATGGTATTTATCGTCTGCTCTAGAGTCGCAGAGTAAGGAGTTGATCCTTACGTCGCGGGTTCGAATCCCACTGCGGGACATGGAGACCGGTCCTTCGGATGAGACCGTATAACCCGAGGTCCCGTGTCGCAGTAGATGCTTGCACGAAAAAGATCCCTCACGGCTCAATGGCCCTGAGTTCCGAGTATAGGTCAAAATTTGTAGCCCTCCACCGGCAAGTGATGGCGTCTCCATACGAATGAAAAAACAACTAATCAATCAATCTTAGTTGCTTCATTCAGGTCTTTAAATGGTGCAAAGAGGGTATACAAGCAATAAACGTATAATTATTTTCTCCGTCTCCAAAGTTTTATTCTGTACTCGTGTCATAGCATTTATACGACAGTGCAGCTCTAAAATCTCGACAGTACCAACATATATAATTAATAAATTAATTAATTGATTGATTCATCATTAATGCCGAGTCGGCAATATTTCAGCCATATTTCGGAGGTCGTACATATATGATAATAAACTGAAAATTATGGAGTGTTTAAAAAATAAGAAATAAACACAAGTCCAACCTATCGATAAAACCAACAAAAAACAAAGAAAGTTATAGCCATTTTAGGTTTAAACCAATCAAAATGCAACGTATGTAAATGTGTATGTTTTCAAGAATTCCTGCAATAATCATGCTGTTAAACATTGTAGTATACACAAATATTTTAAAATGTAAAAGTATTTTGTCAAAATATATAACAGGTATTGAGATTTTTTTATCATACAATTAGAGCGTAGCACATATGCGTGCTAAATCACATACATGTATGTTATATTTCCTACACACCTAAAATAATTTTATGTTTATTTTCTGAGTTTCAAAGCATTTCGAAGATATATGATTGTTACATGTATATCTATTTCAATTGTATCAATCATACCATTCACTGCACTCGCATGTAAATTTTTAAAATGACGAAAAATAAAACCTTATATCGTTTTAAAGATAAAACCCTAGAAATTACCTTAAAAAGTATGGATTTATCAGCTGTAAAATAAATTACATATTAAGCATTCTGATAAGATCCTCTATTATCCCTACTAATATTACAAAAATATTTAAAAGCAAAAAGTTGAAAAAATGGATTTTTGAAATTCACCTCTTGTAGCGGCAGGAAGAGCCGATGGCATACAAAAATTAGCTTCCAAGCAAGTCTACATCACGATCCATTATCCATGAACGTTTGGCATTGATATCTTTAGTCTTTTTTGAGGTTTTCGCTGGGCAAAATTTCATTTTGATATCAGGAAATGATCCATGAAATATGTGGAGATAACGTACAGTATTCGAGCTCAAAAGTCCATTAAAATTACAAAATAAGAGCAGAGCAAACAAGAACCTCTAAGACATCAGAGGTGGGATCAGGTGCCATGGAGGAGTGAGCATCCCCTGCCGACAGGTCACACCCTCCGTGTGCTCCTTGTCATGATCGGGAAATAACGGAAAAATCCGTCGACAATTCAGTGTGTAAATAACGGCCTAACAATTAGTATGAAAAACGTCAGTCAGCATTTGACTTAATGATAGATTGTATTTTCTGACAAGGTCACTGTATCGACCATAGAACTTACGAAATTATGACTTTAAACGAGACTGCTGATATTCTTGTTTCATCAACTTGTTTGTCAATAACTTACCCCGTTTTAAAAATTGTTCATACGTAGAGGATGCTCTGGCGTATCGAATCAACTGAGAGATATAAACCTCGTATGTAGGTGATAAGGGTATATTGCTTCATAAGTAAGGGAAGTTGACGCGATTGAAAAGTTAAATTAAGTCGTCACGTTTATCTCGGCATCGGATGTGATTTGAAATTTGCTCTTGGATAAAATTGCTGCAGCCTAACTACGACTCTGCAAATTTCGTCCCAATCCAGCCTATTGTCTCCGACAAATCCCTTGCACAAAATTAGAAATTAAAAAATAAAAAAATAAATGAATTATAATAAACAGTAGAATCACTATAAGGTATTGCCTAAGGCGGATGACCTTAATAATAATAAACATTTTCTCTTTTGCAGAGTTTTACTTGCACAAATTCTTATGAACCAAAATTCTGCGCAGACAATGGTGATTCGCTTTATGTCTACTTTGATACACGTACTGGGAAATCAACATCTAATGTCAGTTTCAGATTTCTTATAACTGCTACAAAGGTTCTTGATTGTAAGTATTACATACTGTACGGAGAGAGAGAGAGAATAATGCATGGCAAAATCTGTATCGTATCCCAGAGGGCTGATATAGGTTGAGGGTTGTGAGATATAGATTTTCACATGTACTGTTTTTATTATACATGCATATTTGAAAAATAATGTCCCTAATCTGAATAGATCTGATCAAATAATTATTTAATTTTAATCATTGAACACGCATTCTTCTCGCCGTTTCTCGTCATTTTATCGATGGCGACAATGCATTATAAGGGTTAACGGAAGGCTAAAAATTAAAATAATTACAACTTTATATTCAATAAGATAAAATTACAATATCAATTGTAAAAGATCAAAGTTCCTCTGCATGTGTTAAAAAGGATTATTATACAGGGTGTGTGATAAAGGGAACATATCTTTGTTCATATCATGGTTGCAAAATTCCTGTATAACAAATAAATAATTCATATTGTATAAAACACAAATACTGTAGATCACCAAATTTTCGCAAGATCCTATTTTCGCGAGATATATACTTGGTACTTTCATCACGAATTCTTATTATTTTTGTATATAATCTATGCTAATAAAATTATACGCGAATATTTCGCGTCTCGTGGAATTACGCGAAAATGAAGTTCAAATAATTTAAAAAAAAGTAAAAAGTGATCTACAGTAATCAAAAACAATTTTGAATATCCTTATAACATGTATAATGATAGTTCAGTAGTAAATATACCTCTACAGGTAACTAAATGAATCTTTTCAGTCATTCTGACACTTTAGATTTTTTGGGCTCCAGTCTTTGGCACCCTTTCTCAGCTCTTCCAAGTCTCTTTTTATTAACATAATTTGGATTTCCAGCGTTTCGGCTTGAGCGTCACTGAAGAGACATAATTTGTCGAAATGCGCTTCTGGCGCATCAAAATTGGTACCTTATATGATTTACATTGAAATCATTTGAAACTGAAAGATTCAGTTTAATTTTGACTTTACAAATTACTAAAATATATTCTACAGAATCTACCGGGTAGTTAGTTTTTTTCATATTTTGAAAAAGAAAAAACAAACAAGAAATTTGTAATAACAAAACTTCTTAATATTACAACACTTTACCAAGTAGTAATTTATAATAAGTCCATAGTATAATTTGTTGTTTTAAATTGATAACTTGTTAAAGTAACAATTTGTTGAAGTAAATGTTTGTTGAAGTAAATGTAACGAAACATCAGTACAAAAAAATATATATCCATAATATTCGTATGTCATTAAACGCAGTAATGTAAAAAATTCAGAATGCATATACATGTAAATATATATATATATATATATATATATATATATATATATATATATATATATATATATATATATATATATATATATATATATATATATATATATATATATATATACGGTATATATATATATAATACTGCTGATCTGCTGACTCAGCGTAAATATTTTTATGGATGTACATGTTGAATTATATGTTATGTTCAAAAAGTGCCTCATTTAAAATGTTTTTTTTTTTTTAAAAAAAAAATAAACTATACCATTAGTTTAATTTGTTTTCCAGACAGTAATTTAGTTTGGGCCATTATTGGAGGTGTGATCGGGGGCATCGTGTTTGTCACGTTGCTTACTGCTCTGTTTTGCTGGTGTGTCTGTAAACGAAAACCAGCAACGGGTCAAGTTCTCCGTTCAGCTGGACAAGTTACAAGTAGGCATGAATTAATAAACATTAGCCCTTTCTTATTTTTCATCAGAGTGCAGTTGATGAGGTCATTTGGCATCTGAATTTGTTTAATTCTAAAGCTTTTAGATAATTCTCTCTATAAACGCTTAATTGGGGGATGCTGCTGGGAGATCTGATCAAAATGACAGACATAGGTTCAATACTTTTTTTATTCATTTTTTGAAACTAGTATTGAAAACTAATGTTTAAAGAAAGATTTTTAAAATTGACAAATCGTGAAGTTTATCTAATAAATCTAATTAACTTTATGACCTTTTACTTCCATTCTGATGATATATTTATTTTGGAAAGCGAACTCACCCATTCAATTGTCCTATTTTATGTCATTTAAATAAATTTAAAACAGAAATTAAGCTATACAATAACTAGACAAAATTAATCTTTAATATTTATTTCTTTTATCCACCCAGCTATAACTCAGCCTGCCTATCCCTATGCCAATTATTCTGCACAACCAACCGGAAACATTGCTCCTTTCCCGGCGCCCAACTATTCAACACAATATTCGACAGGTTATGGTACACAACCTCCAGTTCAATCTCCGCAGACTGTCGAATGGCAGCAAACCCAAAAACAAGCATCTGCTCCTCCACCACCAAGTTACGACGAGTTATAAACAAGATTGAATGCTTGAATCGGTGATTAAGAAATCCAAAGGCATATACAGGTTTATGTAAATTACAAGATCATGTCATATAAATAAGTTTACCTTATTTAAAAATAACGTAGTATTGTAGCTTTTTATTCATGTACTGATCTGATAGATTTGCAATGAAACAATTTGATCATGGTGTTATCTTTTAATTATCAAGCATTGCCTTTTTTCATTTTATATACATAAATGTGTTGTTTAAGCAAATCGTAGAGCACAGGGAGACACATGTAATGTCTTTAGGATAAATGTTCTTCATGCAGTTTTAAAAAATGTGTCATACCATCCAACTGTTTGTTTTATATTTATATTATCAAAAGAATTTTTGTTTGATTACTTGAAGTCTACACTCATTTCTTGTACTTCTCCACATATATTACATTTGCAAATTAAAATATAATCATGTATGCAGTACATGAGCTGCTTTACGTAGACAAATCTATTGCACGTGGAGAGATTTTGTATTCATTTTATTTCCTTTTTAATTATTTTTTAAATGAAAAAATCATTTATTTGGTATCAATCATCACTAACAATATACTCATCAGTGAAAAGGGGAACAAAAAGGAATTGTTTGTATGGATGACACAATAATATTGAATACCAAACAACTCCTGAATTTTTTTTTAAGTTTTAAGCATTTTTAAATTAATGATCTGAAAAACTTTACGTTTTATGAAGAGTAATCTTTTGGATAAAAAATAATTGCAATATAAAGAATATTAATAGATACTCTTATTTACCTTTTACCAATGATTATTTTTTTTTCTATTTTTTATTGAATTGTTTAAATTGTATTATGTTTATGAATAAAGAGATGAAATTATGGTTGCATAATTGTGATGTATATTGCCTTGCTTCATTATTTGGAAACATATAACAAAAATAACAATTTATACTTTACTATTGTTAGCTATAGTATACTAGTACCATTATAATCAAATGATTTTCTGTAGAAAATCAATGTATAAAAGTTTTTACTTTTAGAATATCAGAGATTTATCGAAATTAAATGTTCTACTGAATTCTAATAGTTACAGTATATACGGATCTTTCATAAAATATGTGGATTTGTTGTGACTTTTTTTTTCTAATGTCATATTATAATCAAAAAATTTGGAAGACAAATTTTTTACAACAAATAATTTCGATTAAAAAGAAATGAATAAATTATAATATTTATCAAATAATTTAAAATTTAAGGATCTTTCATAAAATACGTGGATTTGTTGTGACTTTTTTTTCTTATGTCATATAATAATCAAATTTGGAAGACAAATTTTTACAACAAATAATTTCGATTAAAAAAATGAATAAATTATAATATTTATCAAATAATCTAAAATTTAATACAAGGAAAGATAGGTCACGGAGCACGGTCAAAATTAAGTAATTTACTAACAATGAAAGATAAAATGTCTCCAGTCATACTTTTAATGGTGCTTAAATGGAATAAAAGTAAAACGTTCAAATTAAGTATTGTTTATATAATCTCAGATGCCAAATTGTAATGTAATGCATTGCTTCGCTTAAAAGAAATCAGTTGTAATTAAGTAAATCCGTCTACCTGATCAATACACAGGGCTCACGTTGGGTGCGACCGGTCATCGGGAGATGCTTTCTCCTCTTAGGCACCTGATCCTACCTGTGGAATTTCCAGGGGTCTGTGCTTTATGCCCTGTTCACGGATTTGTATTGTTTAAAGATTTTATGATCACTATTTGTTATGTTCATTTTTTTTTCATTTCAAAAGACAGGTAGACCTTACTAAAAAAAATTGAAGATGACGTCGAGGGACGTCACGAAGCAGGAATTAGCGATGGAAATTTCTTATGCACTCGGGAAACCTCTCAAAACAAACTCAGAAAATGCTAAAGAAAAAAAAAAAGAAATATATACACTAGACAAAATTGCAAACGCACTACCAAAGAAAATTAATATTTTACTTGTCAAAACTTATTTATGATGTATGTTACTTAAATAAAAAATGAGGCATTTAAATGTCTTTACTGATAGATAACTACAATGTTAAATGAAGTGACTAACCATTTCATAGAAAAAATTAAAATCGTGTCCACACTTTTTTGGAAGAATAAATTTCTATTTTTTCTTTGTGTTTGTGTTCTTTATATTTTTACTAATTAAAAACTCAGAAAAAAGTTACTCCGTATGCGGCGTTTGACCTTAGAAGAGCGTGCTAAAGCAGACAGTATGGTGGCTACAGGGGGTTCCTTTGGAGAAATTTGTCAAACATGAAAACAATTAAAAGATTATGAATTTCTTTAATGAGAAATTGTTGCAAATAGATTAACAAACATAAAAATGTTTTTTATAGATAGTCACGGCATTAAGTAAACAACACATGATAATTTGAAAATTGTACCACAAAATTGGGTCAACCGGAAGTTGGGTGGATTTGGTATGGACACCAAGGCACTGGATGACCACAAGGCGATATGATAGTCAATAGCTTATGTTATTTGATTTTTAACTGGGAGAATGCTTCTGTGGTAACCTCACGGACCACCTTTGGTGATCACCAACTTCATATCTGGGCAAAACCGGTGCGCAGTGCACGTCGGGAAATTGGTTTTCGGGCAAGAAAGTCATTTAAGGGTCTTGTCATGATACCAAGACATTTGTCAATCCCACTGTTTTGGAAAAGATGGCATATTATATATGCTATTACCGATCGGGCAAATGTTCAATTCACAAATAAGAATAACAAGTGGTGCGTTAGCAATTTTGTCTAGTGTATATAAAAAATGAGCTGACCGTTCACGGTAGCTCAGTCGGTAGATCGCTCGCTCCGTGATCGGGAGGTCGTGAGTTCGAATCTCGGCTGCGACTGACCTAAGTCGATAAAAAATGGGTAGCAACTGTTCCTTCGTCATGCGCTCTGCACTTTGAAGTGAAAGTTGCGAGTCCTTCGGATGAGACCTTAAAAACCGAGGCCCCTCACTGCTCAATGGCCCTGAGTGCCGAGTAAAGGTCAAAATTTTAAGCCCTTCACCGGTATATGGTGACGTCTCTATATGAGTGAAAAATTCTCGAATGGGACGTAAAACAACATACAATCAATCAATCAATCAAAAATGAGCTGTGCATTTCTTGATAAATGGAAAAGAGTTTTGAAGTGGTAGATCTAGGGACTTTGAATTGGCCGATGGACGTTTTGAAAAAGAATCAGATTATAGTTACAAATATGAGTAAGTAACGTCATGGAAAGTGATGTGAGCTTAACCGATCTTGTGAAAGCAGAGTTACGCGGGAAAAAAAATGAAAACGCTGACAAACTAACAATCTATTTGAACAATTGTTAGCAAGCTAGGTGTCAAGTGTTGTGGAGACGTTGTATGAATGGGTAAGGCGGTACAGATCGTGTATGGAATAAAAACTGAAGGCAGAGTAATTCCAATAAACTTTCACGGCATTGTTTTTGACGTCACAATGCTTTACATCTTGCTTACTTATGACAGATATGAAGATTTCAAAATTAAGTAACATAAGTTCCATTTAATCAATTGAATAAAAATTCACACATCGACAAAATAAATATTTTACATTTGAAAACATATTGATCTTAAATATGATTAAGAGGGACCCTGTCTGCGTGTATATATATATATATATATATATATATATATATATATATATATATATATATATATATATATATATATATATATATATATATATTCTACCAAAACTGTAAATTCAAACTCTTGCCCGTGTTTCAGACCCAAGGATAGGAATAGTTTGTTATATTTTGAACGTACATTACATCTTTGAAATACTATTTCATCGCTCATGGACATCCTACAGGCAAATTAATTTCATGAATATGCCTTTTACAAAAAAAAAAGATAATAATTTTTTACCCCGGGTCCAGGGATCTGGACCCAGGATTAGGTATAATTATGTATACATTAAAATTTATTTTACAGTGTACCTTATTTTCTCTACTCATAAATTTCTAGGTAATGAGAGCATGAATATGATAATGATTTTAGAGTCCTAGCCAAACTGTAAAACTTTTTGTTACCTGAGAAGAGGACAAGTTTAACCTGGGACTAAAGTGGTAATAACCTGACAAACTCATGGTGCTATGGTGACTGTCAAGGCTCATTGGCCTCTTTATTTGATTTTCTATTATTATAAACATTTAATATATGTACATTATTGTGTTGTTGACGCAAAGTATGGACGATAGTGCATAGGGGAAAATATCTTTGATATAAAAGACTCCGATGTAGTTGAAATGTGGCATATTGTCCGAGTATTTATCTAAAGTTTATACACTATTTGATTTCATAGTTTTGAAATCCAAAAATTCATTCTACTTCTCTACATGTAGGACGTGTGCAAATTATAATCATACATTTTTTACAGGAGCCACTGTATCTAGTTAAATTTTGTCGCATATCAAGAGCTTTTTTATTAATACTGTATCCTTTTATATATTTGTTTAACGAAAAATTATCTATGGGTTGTCAAGAATCAAAACTGATGTCAGAGAGACTGAGGAAAGACACGAAAGGGTATTATATGTAGATATGGTAATAAGAAAGTGGATGCCAAACAACGTTCGACAGTTTTACATTTGTACGATCTGAGATATGTTACGTTTTAACAATATACACGTTTTGAACCAAAGTGTCACTGAGACATAGAGACATTACAAGAATATATACATGTATTATAATTACCTTTTACTCCGTGATATTTGTTTTGTGTTATTTTATTCTTGTTATAAATTATTTTATCATTTTGTATGATTTTTTTTGTATAAAGATGAAATTTTGAAAGCACACTTATGTTTTCCCACTCACTGTTCTGATTCAATTAACACATTTTCAAGACATAGCACCATTCTTTGCAAAGAAGAGAAAAATGCAAACACTTGCTGCTTAAACTTGAAAAATCTTAAAGTTGCAGATCAATTTCTTTACTGTACATCAGTTATTGTGAGATAATATCATCAATCAACAACAGTCGTTTAAATTTACTTTGTCGGGGGTTTATGGATGCGGAGTTGGAGGGGTTGGGTGGGATAAAAGAAGCATTATGTTAGACTGTCTAGATATGTTCGTAAGTCGGAGTAGAGGAATACTAGTAACTCATAATGAACGAAAAGGATGGTTCTCATCAGAAGGTTTATACGCTAAGATCTTCACATCAAGGTCTATGTAATACAAAAAGATGTAAGCGAGGGTCCTGTCTGAGCCCCAAGTTCGTAGTTGATGTTCATCAAAAGTCCGTATACATGTACTTGTTGTAAAGGCTGATTACCATCAAAAAAACAAAAAATGGTTGGAACAGTCCTGTCCAGACTGTAATTTAAAATTCGAGAACCAAAGCTTTAGATAAAAGCTCATCTTTTCCACAAAAGTTAACTTAAAATTAGAATCAATAGTTAAAATTAGCATTTTTTTTGTTAGGCTTATAGCAACATTTATTACAGAAACAATTTTCAAACATTGAATGCATTAACTCATAGCAACTTGAAGATCGATCCCAATTGAAATAGTGTCTTCTTTATGCCCTGTAATCGAAGATTCGGGGCATGTTGTTTTTGCCCTGTCCGTCGATCTGACTGTCTAGCTGTCCGTTTGTCTGTTTGTTCGCAAAAACTCTAACATTGCCCATACCTTTTGATTGGTTGGTGCTAGGGCTTTCATACTTCAAATGTGTATTTTTTTGACAATTCCTTTCTTTGGATACAAACAAGTATAGCCCATTGACCTTGACCTGGAGCTTGATCTGCTTTTCGAAAACTTTAACCTTGTCCATTACTCTTGAATAGTTGGTGCT